CCTACGCCCCCTCTCCAGTTACCCCAATCCGGGGACATCGGACCCCGACTGGTGTGTTAGGCGACAAAGGGCGCAGGATGCACCAGCAACCGGTGCAGCCTAGGTAGTCCCCTCCCCGCCCCGCCCTTGACTCCTCCTTCCTCTCCGTCTTCTCTCCTTTCTCCCCGCCTCTTTTCACACCCCACCTCTTCCTTCTCTCCCCACCCACTGCACCTCCCCCTTTATGGAATGGCCCAGAAAAGCTGGTGCTGCCCACAGCGGTTCCAGCAGCCCTGTGACCTTTTCTCACTTCTCAGAAGGACCAGGAATGACATCTCCGCAGACATCGCTGGCTGCATGTCTCCCCCGCATCCTGCGTCTGCAGCCCCGGAGACCCCATTCCCGGAGCCCTTTCTAGTCGTTCTTAAGCCCCACACTGCGCTGCGCAGCATCCTGCACCCGCAGTGAACTTGACAGATTGGTGGCCCCCAGACCTTGCCTATGAGAGGGCCATGCTGAAATGAAAACAAAGCCAGGACACCCTCTGCCTGCTGGAATCTGGGTGCAGACAGTCCATGGTGGGGGTGGGGGTGGGGGTGGGGGCGGAGATAGTAGTTCCCGTGTCCCCTGGGGTGGGTTTGCAGCTCTGGTTTCAGGATCCTTCTGGCAAGGCAGGCCACAGGCAGAGCAGGCCTTGAGAGTCTTCCAGGGCTCTGAAGCCTCTGACATTTTCTCCTCTGTGCAGTGGGCTTCACTATAGGTCACACTGCGCGGTAGGAGAGAAAAAGAACCGTGATCTGAATTGTTGTTGAAAAAGTGTTTACTTAAAATCTTATTAAGGTTTATTTTTAGAGCCTATGTCTGCTGGCCTTGTCAACAGAGACAAATTCTAGGGGGTCTCTCTGCTCTTGCTGACCTTTAATAAAGACCAGAGAAGACAGGAGCAGGGCGAGGCAGGCTTCCTGTCCTGGGTGGGAAGTTTTGTCCTGCTGATATCCTCACCTGCCTACACAGGGCTGCATCCCCCAGGTACCCTGGGTATCCCCAGTAATGCCAGGATAATGGGGGTCCTTTCTAAGTGTGAAAGGGCATTATCCCTGCCTGCTTCCAATCTTAAACCCTGCAAAAGAAGTCTCTCTCCTTTCCCCTTCCAGCAGACCCAGGGAGAAAGTCAGATGGGCTGTGGGGTAGTCTTATAATAAACAATTATGAAGTGCTTCCTACATACATTGCAGATAGTGCCCGATGTATCTCTCAGTATATGTTAAGGACAGAGTGACTTGTTTAAGTCTTACCACACCCTGTGAGGTATATATTGTTCCCCATTTTATAGGTTAACAAACCCAGGCACAAAGGGCTTAAGCAATTTGCCCAACATCATAGAGCTTTCTGATTATTTTCCCCATCATAAGAAAATCCCCACCTGGAGGCCTGCCTGGGCCCTCCTGGCCAAGGAGCAGCACTGAGGGCTGCCACACACTGGGGAGACCTGGACCTGGGCACTGGAGCTGAGGAACATGAGGTCATATGCAAGGAGAACCGCTGCAGTGGGACAGACAGTGCGTCAGGCCTTCTAGAGCAAGTGCCAAGAGCTGCTGTCCCTGCCAAGATGCAGAATCCATGGCCAGCATCTGCCTCTTTGAATACGTTTCCTCTCCTGAGGGCCCACCAGCAGCTTCGTGTCCTGCTCTCCAGCTAACTGAAAATATACACATGTTTAATGGCCCCCTTTGTCCCCAGTGTCCCCAGCTTTGTAGGGCAATGTAGAGGCTATGATTGAAATTTCAGAGGCAATTGGCCATGTCCCAGAGTAATGCTACTTCCACTGGGAACCACCCAGAGACAGAATGACTAGGGAAAGAAGGACCCTCACCCATGGATTGTGCCTATCCAGGGTGGGAAGACAGGCTCAGGCCAGGAGATGGAGGTATGGGGCACAGAAGTTCTTGGATACAGCCTTGCCATGGCCCCAGGGGATCCTGGGCACTGTGCTTTCATAGCTCAGGAACTATGTTTCAACCAGATGGTTTCCAGCTCCTTTCTGATGTGTCCAGTGGGGTGTCAGCAGGGCTAGGACAGAGCATGAGGGGAGAACAGAAACCAGTGGGAGGACAGGGAGAGCTGGAAGGGTTCATACCCTATAGGGACAAAATCAAGCTGCCTGTCTTTGCAAGGTAGGGCCCATATCACCTCAGAACATTGCTGGGGTCTGAAAACAGAAGGGACAATGTGAAGGCAGCTGTCATCTGCAACTGAGTTGAGAATCACAAGAGAGAATACCCATAGGCACACACAGAAACACAGCCAAATATCTCAGCCCAACCCCTACCAGAGTGTGCACACAGATACTTTAACACACTCTGTGCCCTTCTTAACACATGCACATATTTAGACAGTGCACCTACGCACACTCTAGTGGGCAACAGTGAAGACACCACATGACAACCTGGTGAGAGGGACCCTGGTGAGATACATAGTTGTCCCCTTATATTGGCATGCAAGTCCACACCCAGATATGCACCATGGCAGACTCCCGCACGCGTTGGCTAGTGTTCCTGAAGAGGGTCCCTATGGCCCATTGATGACCATGCCCAGAGAGCTGGCCTGGAGCCCAGGTGTCCAGCAGCTGGTCATTCGGAGGTCAGCTGCTCAAACTGAGGCTGGTTGTGGGAAGCTCTGAGAATCCCAGGAATTGCTCTGGAAGTGCTGGGCTGCCTGTGGGATTGCACACGCCCAAGCTGTGGGATTGCTGGAGACACCCTGGGGAAAGGACCACATTGTTCACTCTGGATGAGTTGAAGCTTCCATAGGGGCTCCTCTTCTCATATGGCTGGTGCTAGTCATCAGTACTTCTTGGTTCCATGGTGTCCCAGCTTTGGATGCCAAGTATCACAGTGCCCAGAGTTCGTTCTGTACCTAGAACCACACAGAAAATCACCAGACCTGGAGGCTGCACAGTGTGAGGTTTAAAGCCCTGTTATGGAGCCAGATCACCTGGGGTCAAATGCATGCTCTGCCACTTGCTAGTCCCTTAACCTCGCCAGGCCTCAGTTTCCTCACGTGTAGTGTAAGATAAGAGCAGTATTCGACTTAACTCCTGGGCTATCAGGAGAATTGAATGACAGAATCTGAGCAAAGTGCTGAAGCAGTTGTGTGTCATAAGCACCAAGGTGGAAGGAAGACAGGTGAGAGCAGGAGGCCCACAGGCAGGAGACGCAGGGGGAGGGGCAGGAGCAGGTGGATGATCTGGAAATGACCACAGACCCGTGTCTGGGCTGTCAACTTGGATATTCTGGAGGCAAGATAAATAAGAGCATAATTCCTGTAACCGTATTTCCTCACAGGGCACAGTGTGCTCTGCCAGAAAGCCGCAGCCCGCAGGAACATTTTCTCATTACTATATAATAATATCAAAGATAATGTCCTCGCTGTTGAAGGAGTCCAGAGCACTTAGAGATTGCATATTCAGTGCCCAGCTTCGTAGGCGCTGGTCTGGGTTGCTGAGGCTGCCAGCAGCCAACTCCAGGCTGCCCCTGCGGTGGGGAAGGCAGAACCCAGGCCAAGGGCGTCATGCAGAGCCGCCATACTCAGCCACAGAGCTCTGTCCTCAGTTCTCCTGTGACCCATGCAGAGAGGTCATCCACTCGGGAGTCCCCCTCCCTGCTTAGAAGCCAGCTTGGTGGAGCTCCACAGAAAAAAGAGATCCCTCTTCATTGCTCTGGCCACAGGAGAGACGGGGAGGGGAAGCTGCAGGCCTCTCTTCTCCAAATTGGTGCTGATGTTCCTGCCTCCTTCGCAGCCTCTGTGCCTGAGAAAGTCCCATGTGTGGTGGCAGAGCAACTAGAGGGAGAACTCACAGGGGAGAGCAGGGAATGACTCCTCTTCTGTCCAAAACAAGCCATTGCTGCATGGTGGATTGTTTCCAGAATGGCTTCTGCTGTGGGATCACACTGGGAGAGAGACTGTCTCCTGCATGTGAAGGAGCCACCCAGTGAAGGACTGTATGTGTCCTAGGAGATTTCAGAGAATTGATGGCTTGATAGGGCCACTGCGGCAAAGTAAAGCTGCCCCGGATCAAGAGTCTGATGAGAAGACTTGATCCATTCTCCACGGTTAGGCCGCATTTAATAGTCTCCATTTAGAAGAAACAGGGATGCACATGGCTCCCAACATGAAGGCTTCATGATGCCACTAAATGCTGAGCTCCTGCCTTCCTAGGCTCTCAAATCTCTGTGCTCCAGGGCTGACTTCTACACACCTTCAGCAAAGGGTGACTGGGCTATTCACCATTTCCCGAACACTGTCACACCTGGAAACCCCAAAGTCACACTTTCTACCTGTGCTCCTGCAAGGTCTGGGCCACATACACATGTCATAAGATAAGTAAGACCTGTCTTCCCAGTGTTGAATGCAGAGACATGCACACAGTAGGTGCTCACAGCTTTCCAACACCTTCCCGTTGCTTAGAGTATAATAGGAGCATAGACAATAAACAATAACCAACATCTACTGAGGCAAATTGTAGGCCCAGAAAGGCTACCTACTTTTCTTAAGGCAGCACAGCTCTAAAGTGGTAGGATCAGCATTTGAACCTGGATATAAAGTCCAACATCTGACAGACACAAATCTTGTGGCACTGGCCTCTGCCGCCTCTCTAGCTTTAGTTCTTGACACTGTTGTGTTCCCCTAATAGCCTCTGCACCTCCTCTCTCTCTCTCTCTCTCTCTCTCTCTCTCTCTCTCTCTCTCTCTCTCTCTCCCTCCCTCCCTCTCTGGCCTACTTTTCCTACCTCATCATCTCCCCAGCTTCACTAACCCTTCTCCTGGCTAATGCCTTTTTATCTTTACAGATTCATTTTGCCTGTGACCTCGCCTTGCAAGGTTCCCCTGATCTGTTTATCCTAAGTCCCCAAGGCAGAGGTGGGTGCCCCCCTTTTATGCTTCTATGCTCGTGACCAATGACTAGAGTGTCTATTTTCTCCAACATGATTATGGCCTCCTTAGGTCAGAGGGTCGTCTTACCTGTTATGGAACCCTAGCTCCTGGCAGTGTGGTTGGAACTTAGTCGTTCCTTGTTGAGTGTGAACTTTTCCTGTGAAGAGCAGAGGAGACGTCTTTAGACTGTGTAGACCACAGGTAGGGCTCTCTTTTTCTCCTTCTTCCCCTTCCGACTCCCACTTTAAAAATGTGGGGACCATTCTAAGAGTGCTAAGAAAACCAGCTGTGGACCTGAAGTTCAGTATACTGTCTCCACTGTCATTGGGTAATATATTTCTAAACAACAACAACAACAACAACAAAAAAAACCTCTTAATTTAGTGATTTTCACGTGAGGGTCACACAGGCATTTCAAAATGGAGGAGGTCCAGGGTGGGCGGATGATTTCAGTTGTCATGAGCACTAGGGGGAGCTTAGCAACACTCAGTGTCCCCTAGCCAGGGGTGTTAAAGATTCAGCAATATACCTGCCCTGCAAATTTCCCCATAGAAAAGACACTGGAGAATCAATTCCTTCTCAGATCCAATTTTTCTAGCAGTGCTGAGAAAGAGAAATGAGATCACAGGCCTGGACCCTGGAGGTAAGGACCCTTTTTGGTTCTTCCTGGGATCCCAGGCTCAGAGCCCCACATAGACTTCCATGTACCTGAATCTTGCCCACTGGGCTGCTGAGGCCTGGCAGGGGGCGGTGTCTCAGAGTTGGCTGTGGCTTACTACATCTTCTGAGGGCTGCCCTGGGCAGAGCTAGCCCTAAAGAGTCAGAAGGGGAGGGACTGGAAGATTACCCGAAGGCTCAGAACTGAAACAGGGCTCCCTATGAATGAATCAGCATCTGTCTGTCTTGAATAGGCCAGAGCCATATCTGACAGACCTGTCCCAGGATGAGTAGGAGCTCAGAGATTCATGTTGTCAGGTTTCATATTGTATTTTATTAATTTCAAGATAGGCTCTCTCTAAGTTGCCGAGGGCCTTGCTAAATTGCAGCTGGCCTTGAACCACACCTGGCTGTCCCCACCTCTCAATACTATTATAATAGGTATTATATTCTAACATTTTTTTTGAGGGGAGGAGGTACCCAGATGATAGTGGCATTCTGTCCAATAACTCAGGGCAGCCCCCTGGACCTCCTCTTTCTCTTTCCATTCAACATCATTATATATCTGCACTTTAGTCGCCTGTATGTACTTTAGTAAGATAAGTAATACTCTCAACATGAAAACTAATAAAATAGTAATCTAAACCCTTTTTTAAGTTCTAGTAGGCACTTTGCATAAGGGAAAACCTAAAAGGGTACACATAAAATAAAAGGTTAAGTCATCCTTTTGAATAGCTTTAACTATAGTTCCCCAAGCCGAAGAGACCTTAGTTTTAGATTTGAACACAAGAGACTGAGCCTGAGACTTCTTCAGGCCTTTAATAGACATGAGTGAATTCTTTACCCTCTTACAGTCTTTAATACCCTATTTGTAGAACCAAAATGGTCAATCCCTTTCTAGCTTTTTTCCCCCCCTGGGGTGATTTTGGTAATCCAGAAGAGATGAAACATGTAGATGTCCTTTCTGAGCTAAAAAGCATCATAAAAAATACAAAATCCCTTCGGATATTTTGTTTTCACATAAATCAAGATCTGACTCTTCATAAAATTTCCTTGTGCTTTAGAATTCTTCCTCTTTAGAACAAAGTAGTTATTTGCATGAGAAAACAGGTCATATCGACCTTTCATGTTGGGTCCAGATGCTAAGGTAGAAGGATTAGTTTGGAATTCATAGAATGACTTGGAAGTTCCATGATAGAATTTCATAAAGCACTGGGGGGATTTATTCAGGCAGTTCACGTCCACATCAGTGACTACATTCTCCCCGCTATCGGAGGTGGCCTTGGGATTGTTGTCTTTCCCACATCAGGGCAAGTCCACAACGTAGGTGTTGTTATCCATTTTTCAGATAAGAAAACTAAGAGTTTAAGTAACTAGCTCAAGGAAATTTAATGAGAAATAAATCATGTTCTTTAAAATTAAAAAAAAAATTCTGTTCAAGTTAGTCATTTGAATCTTTGCTAGAAGGCTCTTTAAAACAAATATTTTTCCTGTCAAATCACCAACATATGCACAGTCCTCCTTCAGTTAAAAAACAAAATATGCAAGTGCAAAATAAACTGAAGGGAAAAAATGTAAATTACAAAAGTTTCAGGAGCATGGCTCTTAATCCACTCTTCCTAAATAACAAAAGCAGATCCCACAAGTCAGTTTTTTAAAAAAAAAAAAAAAGAAAAAGGGAAAGAAGGTGAAATATGGCTGGAATCTTCGTGAAGGGTGAAAGACTTGGTTGTAAGAACTTTTGATTTGTTAATTCTCTCTCTTGTTGGTAGATCAATCATGTATCTCAAGGGATAGGATTTACTGTCACCTCACATTTCCCTCTCTGTTTCCTTCTGTAGGGAGCCAAAGCCCTCTCAGCTGAAGCTAATTCTTTCTCTCTTGCTGCTTGCCATCTTCGTTCCTTTAGCTACATTGACCCTGGCCTTTCTCCGGCCTACACAGACCAGAGAGCCTGCTATGGTTTTCAGGTGGTTTGTGGCATGTCCCTCACAGTTTTGTGTCATGGAAGCTTGGATATGTTGAACAGTGGTGGAACCTTTCAGAAGTGGGATCTAGTGGAAGGTGATTAGGTCTTTGAGATCATTTCCCTTGGAAGGAATTGCTAAAGTTCCTGTGGGAACATGGTTAGTTCCTTAGTTCCTGCAAAAGCAAGTTGTCATAAAACGAGCAAGCCTGGCCACTGAACCTCTTGGGACCACCAGTGACCTCGTCCACTCCCATGCGCTCTCAACCTCATGGCCATTGGCCAGAATGGCCCTCACCAAAGGATGAACAGATGGGGCCACCTGATCTTAGACTTTCAGTCTTCAAATCTGGGCTAAATAAGCCTCTTTCAAAAAAAAAAAATAGCTGCCCACTTTCATTTATCTTGTTACAGCAAGAGAAAACCAATAAAGAGGTTGAAACTCAAAAGCTGATTTGGTTCACTCTTAGGACAGGGCAGCATGCTCCAGGGTCCAAAAACAAGTCACTTTACTGTGGTGAGTCCTTGACTTCCAGTGGCTTAGGTCAACTTTTGACAAAGCAGAAAGACAGACTAAGTCTGTGAGGTTGTAAAATGTGAAAGAAGTAGAGTGCTTTTTCAATATCAGCTTGATCTTTGTCATCCCTCTCTACCTTCACCTTTGCTGGTCCAGAAAATCATGTAAATCCTGCTTTCCTGAAGGGTTGAGGTGCTGCCTTTAACTTCTGGAAGAGCCTCAGTCTAAGAGTCTGGTTAGTTCACTCTCCAGATGTGTGTGAGTTGGGCAGACCAATGTACCAAGTGACGGCAGGCCTCTGGGAGCGAGAGGAGGCCAGGCAAAGCTTCCCTCACTAGAATGGACTTCCCTCCCCTAAGGCCTTCCTTACAGAGGTCCTACCTATCTAAGGCCTACTTCACCCCTTGACCTTGACCACTCCACTGGAAGAGGCCCCTATTGCAGTGCTGCTCTGTATCCATAACATGGCAGCACATGTCCCACCCACCACGGAGCCTCCCACTTGTCTGTGTGGGTGTCTCCATCTCTGTCTTAGATGGTCAACTCCTTGGGGGCTGGAATTGAATCTCAAGCAGCCTGGCTCGTGATTTGAACACAGTAGGTGCTCAGTAAATTACTTAGTTTTTAAAATAATAGCTTCTTTACATTTCTGTAGCTTTTAGGTTTACTGGTTCTAAAAATATATGTGTGGAAATCTCAAAACACTTGGAGATTCAACAAAACATGTATCAGTGATTTCTTGTCAGAGAGGAAGTCTTGAAAGAAAGTAGAAAATATTTTTAACTGAATATAAATAAAAATATAGCATATCAAGATTTATAGGATGTACCAAAGGCAAAGCTTTGAGAGAAAATTTAGAGGAATAAATGCTTGTATTATAAAAGAAGAAAGGTGTCAAGTCAATCATCTAAGCTTTCATTTTATACAACTAGAGCAGGAAGAGCAAAATCAATCCAAAACAAGCAGGAGGAGGGAATAATACATTAAGTGCAGATACTGATGAGAATGAAAACAGAAAAACAATAGAGAAAAACCAATGAAACTGAAAGAAAGTTCTTTGAAAAGATCAATAAAATTAAAAACAGAAGATGTTTCTTTGAAAAGATAAAGAAATTTAAAAACATTAGTTTAAAAAGGAGAGAAGACACAAATTATCACTCTCAGAAATGAAAGGTACACTACTAGAGGTCCTACAGACATTAAAAAGATAACAACATTATGAACAGCTTCACACACACAAATCTGATATCTTAGATGAAACACAGCAATTTCCTGAAAACTTCAATCTAGAAATTCAGCCACAATGAAATAGCTAATCTGAGTAGATTTGCAATGATTAAAAAACAGAATTCGTAATTAAAAACCCTTTGAAAAAACATCTCTACATCCAAATGGTCTCACTGATAACTTCTATCAAACATTAAAAAAAAAATAATAACACCAATCCTCCCAGAACATAGACGAGGAGTAGTACTTCTCAGCTTATTGTATGAGGCCAGAACTACCTTCTACCAAAACCAGACAAAGATAGCACAAGGGAAATAATTTCGGAAAAATATCCCTCAAAGGAAAGGGTTCATTGCTAGTCAACAGGTATATAGTTCAATTATGTAAGATGAATAAGTTCTGGACAACATAATATCCACAATTAACAGTGCTGTAGTATATAGTTAAAATTTTGTTAAAAGGATAGGTCTCATATTAAGTCTGTTACCCCACACACAAAGGCAAATTGAATCCAGCAATATATTAAAATAATAATACACTATGACTAAATTGTCCTTTGGTAAATGAATAGAGCAATGGACCTCCTGCATTCTCATTGTTGTAATGGTTACACAAATCTATACATGTACTGCGATTCATAGAATCATACACACAAATGCACACATAATCCAGTTTTATCGTATGATAATTTTAAGTTAGGGTCAAAAATTTATATTTTGCATGTGATGTGTTATCGCTGAGATGATAGTAACCAGCACTTTCATATAATTTACTTCACTCAAGTGAATTTTTTCCCTTATAGTTTTTCAAAGGGTTTTTAGCTATGAATTCAAATTTCTAATTATTATAAAACTACTCAGGTTATTTATTTCATTATGGCCCAATTTTCTAGATTGAAGGTATGTGAAACGTGGGTATGTGGGAGATGGGGAGACTGAGACTCAGAGAAGTGTTCATATGCAGAGCTGAACCACAGGCCCGAGCCCTCAGAGAAGGGCCCTGTCAGCAGAGGCTTCTATGACCTGTCCCCTAGCTCTGCATGTGTCTCTCCAGGTGGTGTTGGAAGTGAAATCCTGAGTCCTCAAGACAGAAAACACAGGAGAAAAGTTTTCCAAGGCCACAGACTCCAAGTCTCACTAGAGAGAGTAAGAAATTGGAAACATACTCCCTGAAGTCCTGATTAATTGAGGTGGTGGGAAGAAGTGGGATGGAGGAATGTGCTACCAACACGATTGCATATTCGGATATCTCTCTTCTTTCAATTCAATTAATATTTATCAAATACCCCAAAGGATACTTGTCCAAGCAATGTTTTCAGAGAAATAGATCTCCATGACCAGGAACCATTTTTAGGGAACTTAATTATAAAATAACACTGAAGATACTGGAAAAAAAAAGTTTTTGTCAAAACTTTGGAACCTATTCAGAAACTTTGAATGAGCAGGGGGTACATTTTTTTCCCAGTGACCCAACATCTTGGACACTGTGCTCCATGCGGCTTCATTCTGGCTGATACATCCCAAGGCAGAGCCATTCACAGCCATTCCAACGCTGCAGGAATAGGCCTGCAGTAATGAGTGGATTCTGGAAAGCTAAGAAGATGGAAAACGGAGTCTGAGACCATGTGGGAAGAGAAGAGAAATTTTCAGGTTCTTTGCCCTCTGTGGTTGGTGAGTGGCAGAATACGTTCACACACTGACACTGAGAATCATAGCCAAGAGCAGGAGAGGACTTCATCTAATGTCATATTTTCTGAGAGCACCAAGCAGAGGAGCATGCTTTTAATTGCATGTCTCATGGGTTTGCAGCAGCAAACCTTAATAGAAGAGGCACATCCCTGGGAGGACATATTTTAGGAGAGAGTAAAAAAAAAAAACCCAGTTGCTTCTCAGGCAGTTTGAGATTATCCTGAGCCCAGAATTCTTTCTTCCTTAAGAACCCAGAAAGTTAGACTTAGAAATTACATTTCTAAATATACTCCTATCCAAAGGGTTTCTGTATTTGGAGCAGATAGCCTACTTTATTATCCAAAGGAAGCCAGTACCAAGACCCAGGGTAATCATGGCTTAATGATTATGATTATGGGATGCTTCATTTTATAGTTTACTAAGTAACTTCTCACACCCGATCTCATTTGGTTTTCCAAGTCAGCAAGGCAGGCTTTATGGTCCCCATTTTACACACAAGGACCTTAAGCCTTGGAGAAATCAAGGAACCTGTTTAAAACCTCTTAACAGATATGTGGTGGGGCAGGGACAAATCCAGGGTTTGTGCCCTTCCACAGATACACACCGAGGACCACTGCACAGATGGCAGATGTGATGATGTCAGGCAGTGTGGAAGTTACAAAGGTAAATGAGACTTGGGTTTGCAAGATAGTATTTGATCACAAAAAGGCAAATTACAAGTAGACTGTCACAAAGGCCAACAAATCCAAGCACTCCTCCCCTGCACTCTTGGAATCTATTGTTTTCTTATTTGTTTGTTGGTTTAGGTTCTGTCACCCAGCAACAACAAGCTCCCTGTGATTAGGAACTCATCCCTCTTAGTTGCCACTGAATTTCCATACATGGAACAAAATCTGGCACAGAGCTGATGCTTAATACATATCTGTTGGCTGAATAAACACATGAAAGTATGGGCCTCCTAGAAAGTTTCAAGGAAAAGGAGACTTTGGGCTGGGCCTTCATTGGGAAGTGGAGGTTTTACAGGCAGGTATGGGAGCTGCACTTGTTCTAGACAGAATGTGATGAGTGAGCAGACAGATAAGAAAAACAGGGCTGTGTGCCGTGCTGGGTGAGGTGGCTCACCTCTGTACTCCCAGTAGCTCTGCAGGCTGAGGCAGGAGGGTTAAAGCCAGCCTCAGCAATTAGTGAGGCCCTAAGCACCTTGACAAGACCCTGTCTCAAAATTTAAAAAAAAAATTAAAAGGGCTGGGTTGTGGCTCATTGGTGAAGCACCCCTGGGTTCAATCCCTGGTACAAAAAAAAAGAAAGAAAAGAAAAGCAGAGATTGTGTTTGGCAGAACTGTGAGGAGTATGAGGAAGGGAAGTCAGGTTGGGGCTACTTCATGGAAGACCCCAAGTGGCATTTATTCAGTTGGCAACAGGAAACCATTTGAGTTCGAGTCACAGAGGAGAGGCTGGCCAGAGCTTTGGATCAGTGTGATGGATCTGAGAGTGACACTTCATATGCCGTAGAGGGGAATGACTGGTGGGGGCAGGTGACAGCAGGAGCCAGAGAAGAGGTGATAAGGGTAGAAGTACTGGGGCTAGGAGGAAGAAGGGCACTTCACAGAGAGAACATTCAGGTCTCAGAAAACCCCCTCAACATGGAGGCTGAAGGACCTCAAGGATGATATTGAGGTTCCCAGGTCAAGTGCCTGGAGAAGTCAGAGAAGGGAGGGATGACACGTTCCGTTGGTGCATCTCATGTTTGAGTGTCCCATGAGATAGATGTCTAATGAAAATGTCCAGCCAGTTGTCAGAAGGTCAGAAAGATGGGTGTGGTCCAGCTAGCCCATCTGATCACTGAATCAAAAACAGTCATTGGGTTGGGCTTGGTGGCGCACACCTGTAATCCCAGCAGCTTGGGAGGCAAAGGCAGGAGATCTCTAGCTCAAAATCAGCCTCAGTAAAGATGCTAAGCAACTCAGTGAGACCCTGTCTCTAAATAAAATACAAAATAGGGCTGGGGATATGGCTCAGTGGTCGAGTGCCCCTGAGTTCAAGCCCTGGTACCAAAAGAAAAACAAAACTAAAAACGGTCATTGGAACAGTGCTAGGGAAGCCTTTTATGGTAGCCTGCAAGATTATAGGATGCAGAGCATTAATCTCAGAAGGGGCTGTGAGCTCACCTCCTAACAGAGGGGGAATCTGAAGCCTAAGGAAGTCTATTGACTTGCATAAGTTCACACAGCCAATGTGTCCTCCATAATTCTTATAGGAGGTCAGTTAACTTTTGATTTTTATTTTTTTATTTTAACTATGTGTGCACTTGCGTTCACATGCTAGGGAGGAAAATCAGGCTCTTGCTAGGCAAGTGTTCTACCACTGAGCTGCCACTAGCCCTCAGTTAACTTTTAAGTGATTGAAATTTTAGTATTTTTATAATATTTTCTATTTTAATGAAAAAGTTCCTGATTTGCATCTCTCTTAAGTCTAAAGTTGATTAATGCACTGTACTAAGGAAACGGTGATAATCCTTTCTGTTTGTAGACTTTGGCTGCCACCCAGATGTGAGCAGGATCCTAAGGAATCAGGTATAAGATGGTGGTGGATTGGGTTTTATTTTATTTTTGTTTTGTTTTTGGAATGCCATTTTCTGCTAGGGTCTCCTATATGTAGCCATCCATGAGGCTCACAGCTGAAGAAGACAGACTTTTCTTCAGTCCTCAATTCATAACCTTTCACCAAGAAAATGTTATTGAACTCCTGGGACATAGAGGGCAGGAAGAAAACCAAGCCCTTTACTAGACCCTGAATTCCTTTCTTCCTCACCTACAGCACATTGTACCAAATACAAACTTCAGGACTTTCAAGAAAAGCAAATAAAACCCCAACCATGTTGCAAAGGTTATCTGGCCTGTGGAGAAAGCAAATGATTAACTTTTGTAAAAGTGATTTTTGAGGATTTTTACAGCGTTCAAAGGTCCAACTCAAAAATTTTAACTTCGAGTTCCACCAGTCTCCCCTTCCCAGGAGGACACTGATCCATGTCCAGGTGTGGAGTGTCTGTCATGGCAAGGACAGGGAATGGTATGTGTGTGTCCCTCCCAACCCAGCCCCCAGCCTTTGGTTTCTGCCAGGCTCATTTGGCTGAAGGGGCCAGCCGGAAGGTCTGAGGCTTCCACCTTGAACCTGGGTCCTGGTCTGCTTTGTCTCCATGTGTCTCTACTGTCACCCGAACTGTGAGTAATTTATTATGACCAATACCAGAAGAATATGACTGCCCACATCCTGCTGGTGACTTGGGCAAGTACTTTTTTCTCTGTGAGCCTCCAATGCTCATGAGAAAAATGGGTTTAGGGTATCCACCTACCTCAAAGAATTGCCAAGGGGACTGAATGAGATAAAACACCAGGCACCCCCAAAATGTGCTGGGCACAAAGGAAGTGTCTGCAAATCTTGGCGACCCGTCCTTTCCTCTTCCTGAGCATTTCTCACTCACCCACCCATTCTCGACCCACGTACCACGACGCCTGCTGGATCTCCTACTTTCCCCTTTGCTTTCCCCTGGGGATTATCTAAGAAAACAGAGTCTACAGGAACACTACAGGTTCCTTCTCTCTTCTGCACCCCACAGCAGCACACCAAGTGTCCAGATGAGCCACCATGTGGGTTGAAGTGGCTGTGCCTCCCCCCCCGCCCCCCGGCAATAAATACCTTCCCCTGAAAAGAGGGACCCCTCGGAGGGCAGTGAACCTGTGCATCAGGACAGCCTCTCTGGGCGCTGAATGGGCTAAAAGGGTCGCTTCAAGGGTGCAGAGTTCCCTGGGGGTCGCTGTCAGCGTGTTCTCGGTTCCCCCAGAGTCGGCGTGGGCGGAGGCGCCCTGGCCCAGCGCCCGGGAGCCGCACAGGTACGTGGCCACTAGGCTGCGGCGCCCCGCGAGGTCCGCAGTGTCCCCGCCCCCGTGCTGCCCGCGGGCGCCGGTTGCAGCAGGCGGAATTTCCCCAGGGCTTTTGGAGCACTGCGGCTGTGCGTCCACGCGGAGAGGCCGCGGGCGCCCCCTGCTGCTTGAAAGGAGGATCACAGCCCTAGGCAGAAGGCGAGCTCCTACTCCTTCAAGAGCTCAGGTCCTGGTCACAAAGCTAACGAGTTGCAAATGGTGGCCCCTGGAGAGATAAAACCAAGGACTGGGAACCTTATTGATCCCCCTGATATCACACTGTACGAACAAAGAACATTTTGGCAGGAGGCTGAAGAGGAAAGAGCGCAGGAGAGGAGGAGGGACCTCCTGCTAAGGGGTGTGACATTCATGGAAGGCTAGGAATTTGGAGCCCGGCTCCCTTTGTACCTGGCACCCACCAAATGACCCAAACTGTGCTCTTGCTTGCTCATCTGGTTGCTCAGGCGGGAAACGACAGATCTGGGTTCTTTTTAGTAAGCACCCCAATGTGTTGGGTGCCCCACCTAGTTACATTTTACAAGATTCTGTGTTAGGTTCCCAAGGTGTTTTATTTACTGGCAATGGCGTTCTTTCACACAGTGCATTTATTCACGGGGTCCTTTGTGTTCAGGCGCTCAGTGGGTTGGGTCCTGACAGAAGATTCATGTGGTACAAAGTCTGAGAACATAAGATATAAACTCACAAAAGAAAGTCAGTTTGCCAAAAGTAAAGCTGGGTGAATGAGAGGAAATAAATGGTCTAGACTCAAAGACAAAGAATGGACAGAGAGCTTCTGCCAAGACCACTACTGTTTGTCTCCGTGCTTGGCAGGAAGGGAGGGTGAAGGCCTGAACTCTCTTCAGGCACGGTTTGTTTAAGTGCAAAGGATTTGTGTTGCTCACGCAGTCCACAAAATGCATGCTGGATCCCAGCTAGGGTAGTGGTTTCTAGCAGACACCTGCTACACAGTATCTGCATTTAGCTGTGGCTGCCAGGGATCAACAACCCAACATTGGGCCTCTGCAGCATTGGTGTGCACTGCTGCATGGAGCTGCGTTCTGCACAGCGAGAAAAGAGCCAGGCCCTTCCCAGAAAACAGACTTCTACAGCTAGGGGTAATTTTTCTTTTTTCATTTTGATTCTTTAACCTCTCAAAATGCTATATCTCTAGAGGAAAGAGCCTGGCTTGAGCATCAAGAAAAACTGAGTTCAAGTCCAGTCCCTGCCACAAACAGATACATGTCATGGAACAAAATCATCCACTCATCCATCCACTCATTAATTGCTCCAACTATCCATTTAGCAAATATCCATAGAGCATCTACTATACACTAGATGTGGTGTTAGGTGCGGGGATATAGTAGTGAATAAGACAAACTCTATTTGCATAAAGCCTATAGTCCAGAAAATAGGCAAATCACTCTGCAGAGAGCAGGGCACAGAGGCTTGCTGTGTAGGCTGGCCAGGGAGGAGTGAGTCGGGTCAACATATGGGAAAAGGAGTGATAAGCCAAGGTAAGCAGGTATAAAGGTGTACAAGAATGATCTTGGCGTGTTTGGAGCAAAGCGTCATGTGATTGGAACAGAGTTCAGGAGAGTGGCCATGGGCAAGGGAAGAGAGAATGGCAGGAGCCAAACCACATGGGCCAGCAGAGGGAGTTCATGTGCATGTTACAAAGACCTCCCTGGCTTTTGGGTAGGGAAGGCTGAGGTGGGATGGGACGTAGTGGCAAGACTGCTAGAAGGGCAAGGTGAGGACTTGGCCTGGAGTGGGGAGCCATATTGGACTACATGTAGAAAGGTGAGCCAAAGATATTGCTGAAGTTTCCAGCTTAGGTCAGACTGCGTAACCAGCATTAGAGCAGATTAGGCACTTAATATGACTTTCCCACTGACAGCGCTAGAATTGTGGCTTCAGCCTGTACCTCTAAAATACATCCCTAGGTAGGAGGAAAGCAAGGAACACACAGGCTCCAAAACTAAAGTGAAGCCAGGACCTCTGGTAGGTGAGTGGGCAGCAAAGTTTTGCCCCCGAGGGGTTTGCTGACTCAAGCCATCTGGAGCTTTCCACGGGCAGCTGCACTAGTCTATGGCTGGCCCAAGAGGGCAATCTAGCAGGAATCTTCTGCATAAAGTTGGGGCTCAAAAGGCCACACTCTCAGAATGGGGGTGACTAAGGAATAAACCTGTCATGAGGAAGGGGACTTGCTTACTCTTATGGTTTAGATATGAGGTGTACCTCCAAACTCCTGTGAGGCAATGCAAGAGAGTTTGGAGGTGAAATGATTGGGCTACGAGAGGCTTAATCTAATCAGTGCATTAATCCACTTGAACATATTAACAGGATGGTAACCGTATGCAGGTAGGGTGTGGCTGGAGAAGGTAGGTCACTAGGGCTGTGCCTTTGGGGTGTATGCTTTGTCCCTGGCAAGCAGAGCTTTCTCTGCTTCCTAATTGTCATGTCCTGAGCTTGCTCTCCTCCTCCACACCCTTCTGCCATGATGTGCTGCCTCACCTTGGGCCCAGAGCAATGGAGTCAGCTGTCTATGGACTGAGACCTCTGAGTCCCCCCAAATGCTTCCCCTCCTCTATGTTGCTCTTGTCAATCTTTTAGTCATATCATAAAAAATTAAAAATTAAAAAAAAACACTGAATAAAACACTTTAATCTTGGCACTGAGTGAAAGGAAAATATATATATCACCTAAGGATTTGTTATAAAAAAAAAAGGTCTCAAATAATTTAAATCTGGCTTTGGAAAAAAAAAAAACTACAAACATTGAATTTAATGTAAATGGTCTTGGGTTGGCAGTGTTCTTGATTAACTGACAAAATTAAAAGTAAATCCTTTTATGTACCTCAACTTCAACCCAGACCTCAAAGAAACTCCCGCAGGTAAAACTTAAAGGAAAAATAAACAGCTCACATTAAAAATTTACAAAGCACAGACGAAACAAGCATTATTATTGACAATCAAAAACAAACAAAAAACAGACAACAGAAGCAACCCATCAAATATTTCTGATGTTAGAACTTGCATGTATGGATTAAAATGCAATTATGTTTGTTATGTTAAATACATAAAATAGAAGCTTAAAAACAAAGGGTAGGAACAAGAGACCTTGCACAATCAGGCAGGTTTAAAAAAATAGCAGAATCGACCTCCTGAAAATGAGAAACAAAACACTGGAAATAATATTCAGTGGATACACTACACATTAGATTAGATGCAGGTGAAGAGAGAATTGGTCAATTGGAAGACAGATATCCAAATTTATCCAGAATGGAGTTCTGAGAGATAAAAAGGTATAAATTCTAAAACAGAAGTTAAAAGATACAGAAGATAAAATGATTTGAGACTACTACATATCTAACTTAGACTTCTGTCTGTAGAGAGAATAGGGGAGTGCAATTATTTAGAGTTAAATGCCCATAATTTCCCAGAATTACTAAAAAAAAAAAAATCTAAAGTCTAAGAAGCCTAAGACTTGAGAGACAGAGAGGGAGAGAAAGAGAAAGGATACTAGAAGCAGCCAGAGAAAAAAGGCAGATACCCTGCAAAGAGACAAATAGAGCATCTGTGAATAGCAACCATGGAAGCTGGAAACAGTGAGAAAAGCATCTGTAGGAGAAAACAATTGTTGTGAACCTAAAATAGAAACTCAGTTTCAAGAATGAAGGTGGATAAGGGCAGGTTCAAATGAAAAGCATCCACTCTCTCTGCAGGAAATTCGGAGCAATTCTCCAGGGAGAAGGGAAGGGATCCCTCTCTGAAAGTCTGAGATGCAAGAAGATCCGTAAGTGAAGATTGGGGGGCGTCAAAACCAAGGTGACAAAATATGATGAAAAATTTTATGCTGGTAAATTTGAAAACTCAGGTAAAGACATTTCTAAGAAAGTAGTACTTAACACATATGCAAGTAGAAAAAAAAAGTCCAAATAGCCTTTATATGTAAAAGTAAATGAATTAGTAGTTTAAAATCTTCTGACTAGGAAAAATACAGGGCCCAGCCAGTGTTTTAGGTATTAGAACGAACCTTCAAGTAAAAATATTATTAAAAATATTAAAAATACTAGAATAGGATAGGAAAAAAAAAGAGCATTTCCTAATACTGGTGAAACATACAACCATAAAATTCTAGAGAAAGTACTGGAGCACATCCTCAAGATCTTAAGAAGGTGATTTTTAAAATAAGATATCAAATGTGTTTTGTTAAAATGGAAAAAGTCACTGAAAATTCACCTACTTTAAAATGGAGAATTTAGACCAGTATAATCACTATGGGAAATACTTTGGTATTACTCAATAAATTTAAGTGTGCATATATTCCATGGACCAAAATCTTGTCTCTCTCTCTCTCTCTCTCTCTCTCTCTCTCTATGTATATATATATATATATATATATATATATATATATATATATATTCTTAAAACACTGCATCTGAGGACCTGAAAAGTATGCATAGAATATGCAAATCACCAAGAATATGCAAATTGCTAAAACTAGAAAAAAATCCACCTCAAGTACAACAAAGGTACGTCCAGTATAGCAGAATCCTACAGGGGAAGATTATATCACAATGAAAAGCAACCCACTCTGGGTATCTCAGAAGGGTTCTAGGTTATTCTTATGTTAAGAGGCAATCACAGAAGACTTTGTTCAGTTGGATTCCATTTACATAAATCTCAAAAACAGGCAAAACTAAAAACATTTTGTTTGGGATAAATGCAGTCATATTTGGTTGATTCTGAGACATACCTTTTACTCTAACATTTTAATCTCTCTAAAAAGACATGCATCTTATAACCAGTGGTGTCTTGCACATTTCTTTTTTTTTTTTTTTTTTTTTAGGCACCATTATGCATCTCACAATGTTGGGGGTTTGAAATTCAGTGAAATATAGTAGGTGATAAAACTATTTTTAAAAAGTGACAGAATGACTAACACAAAATTTAGACCTATGATTACCTGTGTTCAGGAGGGGAGGAAGGAGGCTGAGGGAAGGAAGAGGTACCCAGAAGCATCCCAAAGTACTAGTGTTTTTTTGTTTGTTTGCTTACTGGTGTTTGTTTTATTATTGTTATTTAAGCTTATTAGACTTTTGCATGTATGAATATCTTTCACAATTCAAGAAAAAAGGTGTGCAAGTGGTGGAAGTATAATTTTTTTTTTTTTTGCCACTGTGACCAAAGAATTTTAGAGAAGAAAAAATGTATCTGGCACTCATAATTTCAGAAGTCTCAATCCATAGATGGCCAACTCCATTGCTCTGGGGCCAAGGTGAACATCAGGGTAGAAGGGTGTGACCCAGGAAAGCAGCTCAGGATATGACAGTCAGGAAGCAGAGAGAGACTCAGCTTGGCTCACCAGGGACAAAATACATACCCAGGAGCACATCCCCTGTGCCCCACCTCCTCCAGCCACATCCTGCCAACTAGTTACCACCCAGTTAATCCATTCAAGTGGATTAATGCACTGATTAGGTTAAGACTCTAATAACCCAACCCCTTCACCTCTAAACTTTCTTGCATTGTCTCACACATGAGTTTTGCGTGATACCTCCTATCTAAACCATAACACGGGGATGCACATGTGCATCAGGAAGCTGTGTAGAGAGGTGGGGGGAGAGAGGCAGGGGGCAGTTGCAGGAGGACACTGCAGGGAATGAGTGGGAAGATGGGGGAGTGGGAGCCATCAGAACCACACATGCAGAGACACCGGCCTTTGAGGAGTGACACTTCCTCCATTTTAATAAAAGGAACAAAAGGAGAGCTAGGCTCATGGAATTTGCAGTGGAATTTTCTACATGCTTTCCTTGGGGGGGGGGGTTCTGCTTTCTGTATGAATAATATATAGGGCTGGGGATATAGCTCAGTTGGCAAAAGTGCTTGCCTCACATGCACAAGGCCCTGGGTTCAATCCCCAGCACGTAGAAGAGGAAAGAACGATGGAAAGCCTTTTTTTTTTTTTTGGAGAAATAAAAAACAAAAACTGGCCGGAATAAAGGAGAAATGATCTCAGACATTTCTAAGCTGTGCAATTTTTCTCTGGTAACAGAAAGGTGCCGGAAGCTCCACAGTGCCTTGCACAGGTAGAAAGACTGGAATTTTTGCTAAAAACGGCAGAAAAGTTCGACAAATCAGCATTAGCTGGAATCCACAGTTCCTGGGTCTCTTGGTTGGAGGGGTCAGTTGTAGGTGATGGGCTGAGTAGGTGACACCTGCTGGGCTCTGGGAATGGGATGGGCAAGGACCTGGCTCTTTTCATATGTGGTTTTCTGCTGCCATCTGCTGGCTGATAGTGGGAACACTCAGGAATCTGCAGAGAGTCCTAACTTCCTCCACAAACCTTAGATCTTACTGGGAAAGAGGCAGGGAAAGCTACTAGAATCAGACTGTGAAGTATGTCAATCCCACCTTCTACACACACACACACACACACACACACCACAACATTTTGAACAATGATACAGTAAACTTTTACTTTTTGGCATACCGTGACTGCATAATATAATGTTTTAAAAACTAGATCAAGATGTTTGCATCATAAAAACAAAACAAAAAAAAATCATTACATCTGCCACTTTTTCAAAGATGACATTTTTCAAGATCCAAGAATATAAGAATTAGAATGCAAATCTTGTGGATTTAACAAAGCACTGGTTTGTCCGTAATTTCATGTTTTCAAAAAATCTTAAATTTCTTGTATATCTGTTAAGAATTGTTTTGATATTTTAAAATCATAATTTCCTGTGTGATAATCTAGGGAATCCCACCATTTGGTTACAGTACTTTTGAAAATTTAACCATTTTCATTTTCAAAGGTGAATTTTCATCAAGACAAAATCAGTAGTTTGTGCTTTTAGAAATTTGACTTCATTATTTCTACTGGGCGGAGGGATGTTCAAAAGTAATAAAAGAGCGCTTTGAGTTGAGAAGCATTAAGTAAATGCCAGAGAAACCATTGCGCTTACCAAGAAATCCTAGAATTCCTGGTCAGCTGTGCTGTGCAGGATGTGTTGCTTTGTGGCCTTCAATGCCCCTTAAAATAGGTAGGTATGAAAGCTGTCAGTGCCCCTGAGTCTCTTGAGCCCCAGACTTCTGGATGCAGTCACCTGAGCAATCATTTAAAAGGCAAGTCAGATCCTGATACCCCACTTGCTTTGGGAGAGGTCAGTGTTACACCTTAGAATAGAATACTGATCCCTTATCAGCTTTGCAGGGTCACAGGATTGGACTCATCCTTGCCCCTTCAAGCCTGTCCTTCCATGGTTTTCATTTTCGTCCTTTGTGCATCTTTCTGTTTCAACATTCTGTTTATTTCCTTTAGAGCCCTTGCTTCATCTGTAGTAACTGTTTTATTTATCTGTTCATTTCTTGTCTTCACCACTAGGTGTCACCCCATTCAGTGGGTCCATGTTGCTCTCTCTGGTTTTCCCAGTGTCCAGTGAACATTTATTTACCAAGGAATGAATAAGTGAATGAGTGATTTGAGCAAAGGAATATGTCACTCCAAGCAAGTTCATGGTATGAAGCTCATTCTAGAAGTAGAAGGAAGTTCCATTCCTGCATCCTGGCGTGGGGAGAAGAGGTCTGTAGCTGGCAGTGGGTGGATCCTGGACTCCCACTAGCCCCCAGGACTACTCCTGCTGTTCTTAGGAGAATACCAGTAGAGCAGAGGCCACTCAACCACAGTGTAGGAGGGCTGAGGGCATCAGAGGTGTGCAATGCTTAGGTGTGACCGTTCCATCAGTGTGTGGATACCCATCCAGGAGGCAAACACCGGCTCCTAAACCAGCTAGTAGCACTTTGTATTGCTCCAATGTCCTTCTGTTGAAAAGGTCCCAGCAATGCCACAGGCTCGAAGCCCTCTCCAAAGAGGGCATATTAACATCTCCATTTTACAAATGGAAAGATAATGGGCCCATGTTCAGTGGGCTAGAGAGCACTCGTGGGCGGCAAGCTCCTGTCTGGCCTTCCAGAGGTTCTCCCAGTCAGACAATCAGAGCCAGAGTAAGAGAAAATAAACCAGAACTGTCATCAGTTCAGAATCAGTGGCTTGGGAAGCTTGATGAGAGCCGCCCCATGAGAGGTAGCTGGGGTGAAATGCTTGCTTAGCTCCAGAGAGGCCTGGGTCAGACATCTCAGGACACAGTTTTCCCTCTCTGGAGTCCCGAGGTGGTTTCCTCTGCCTCTCTCCTGGGTAGGGTCCTGGCACCTGGGGGAGAAACCACCTGGACAAGGAACTCAAGCCAGAATGGAGTGTGCGAGGGTCTCCGAGGCAGGGCCAGCCTTCAGGGCAGGCCGATCTGGGGGTTCTTCAGGAAGAAGGCCAGTTTTTGGGCTACGGAGTCCAGCTCGCTGGAGTTAGCATATTGGAGGAGGTTGCTCTTTGGGACGAAGTAGTGCTTCAGGAAGTGCTGGCTCACACACTTGTGCAGCTTCCTCACCAGGCGCAGGAGGGCTTTGTGGAACACCTGCCAGTCCTTCAGGTGGGGATACTTCTCACAAGTCCAGAAGAGCACAGTCTGCGGAAGGAAGAGGGAGCGTCAGACGTGGTTTTGGGGTCCCTGAGCGGAATATCTTCAGAAACAAGTACTGAGTCTGTGTGGCCTTGGAAGGAGGGAGAGAAGAAAATGGGACCAGGAAAATGGGTCCTGCCCTGAATTCATGATCCTCAGTCTCAAATGGGCACTCAGCCTTAGCCAGTGGGTCCTCTCCCTGTCTTGGCTGATTTATTCTCTCACTCTCCTCTAACATTTCTAGTGATCATCACTCTCCTCAAGTCTGCAGCGGCACACACCATGCCTTTGTCTTCTGTTTTAAAGGCAACATGGAACCAACCCCTCATCCTCGGAAACCCAAGAGCTCCCTTTACCCCTTCTGTTCCACCGCTCCTCCTAGCCAGGGCTGACCCCTGCACAGGACCCAGATCCTGCCATCTTGGAACTGCGTATGATTGCTCTCCCTCTTGCTCCATGGCTTCTCGACTGGTTCCAACTCTCCTGCTCCTGACCCCCACTTCCCTTCGGTCCTAACTCTTGCCTCTCTGCAAATCTAGGTTCCCAGTCACTTGTCATCATTTTCTCTCTTTTCATTCATTGCCTGCCTCCCATCCCCTCCAATATGGTGTCTTCTTCCATTAATCCTAAAAGGGCCGCTCTTGCTATGGCCCAATGATCTCCATGTCTCTCAGTCCAACCAGACTTTTTCAGACTTGGCTTTATCTGCCTTTCAGCTGATTAGATTCCCGTCTACGCCCTCCTCTTTTGAGTCACTCTTCACTCGGCTTCCAAGCTAATCTACTCTCTGGGTGTTCTCCTAGCATTACAGCTACTCCTTGGCAGAAATATCATCCTTGACCCACCTCTAAATGTTGGAGTTTCTGGGGGTTTCCTTCCCGCACCACTTCTCCTCTTTACCTCTCTTCCCCAGCTCTGTGTTCCTCCCACCACAGAGGCTTTAGTTCCCGTTAATATGGTTGACCTGTAAATGGTTTTCTCCGGCTCTGACGTTTCCTCTGATCGCCTTACCTGTTTCTCTTGGATTTCTAAAAGTTATCTCAGTCTCAACATGTCCAAACTGAACTCATGGCCTTTCCACACAGCCTGATCTGCCTTCAGAGTTGCTTATTCAGTGAGTTATGCAAGACACAAACCTAGGAGTCATCCCTCTCCCCACCATGCCCAGCCAAGTCCTGCCCAAACTCCTGCCTAAGTAATTTTCAACTCTGCCCACTTACTTCATCTCCAGTGATAACACCCTCTTCCACACCACACAACATTTCACCTGGATCCTGGCAACAACCGTAACCAGTCTGCACCTACTGCCTTCACTGTTTAGCCTGACCCCACCCACACTGCAGTCCTCATGATCTTTTTGAAATATAAATCTTGGTTCCTTCTTGTCTAAATGCTTCAACTTCTTCCCACTGTTAATTAACTAAAAGTACAATTTTTTAACATGGTTTGGTCCATGAGGTTTGGCCTCAGCCTCCCTTGCTAGCCTTTTGACAAAGATGTCAAGAAAGATATGGAATCGGGTGAGACATCCATCAACAGAGCAACGGATAAAGAAAACCTGGTACCCATGCACAATGGGGTGTCATTCAGCCATAAAGAATGGAACCCTGCCCCTTGCAGGAATGTGGATGGAACCGGAGGACATTATGTTAAGTGAAATAAGTCAGACACAGAAAAGCAAGTACTGCATATTCTCTCTCATATGTGGAAGCTAAAAAAAAGTTGATCGGAATATGGAATGGTGATTACTAGAAGGTGGGAAGGGTGTAAGGGTGAGGTTGGGATTTGATCAGTACGTGTCATGTGCATTAGGGGAAATAGCACACTGAACTTCACGAATGTGTACAATTAATACATGTTAATCAGACATAAAATAAGTATTTTAAAAAGAACATTGGAGAAAGGACAATCTCTTTAATAAGTGATTCTGGGAAAACTGAAGAGGGGTGTTGTGTTTGTGTGTGTGTGTGTGTGTGTGTGAATACATACATGAACATACATATATAATGTATATGAATATAAATATTATATGAATGAAACTAGATTTCTATCACCCTATACAAAAGTCAACTCAAAATGGATCAAAGAACTAAATGTAATACCTGAAACTATGGAACTACTGAAAGAAAACATAAGGGAAACAGTTCAAGATATTGATACAGGCAAAGATTTTTTGGATAACACCAAAAGCATAGGTAACAAAAGTAAAAACAGACAAATGGAATTGTATCAAACTAAGAAGCTTCTGCACAGCAAAGCAGTCGACAAAATGAAGACACAACTGCAGAATGAGGGAAAACCTTCCCAAACCACGCACCAGACAGGGATTAATATTCAGAATATATACAGGACTGGACACCAAAAGAACAAATGATCTGTTGAAAATGTGGGCAAATGATTTAAATAGACATTGCTCAAAAAAAAAAAAAGAAAGAAAGAAATACAAACGGCCAACAAATATATAAAAGATGCTCCAGGTCACTAGACATCAAGAAAATGAAAATCATACCCACAGTGAGATACCATTTCATCCCAGGTAGAAGGGCTAATTTCAAAAAGACAAAATGTAAACAGGGTGAGGATACAGAGAAAGAAAAACTTGTTCATTGGTGGTGGAAATGTAAATGAGTACAGCTTTTATGGAAAACAGTCTGGAAGTTCCTCCAAACACTTAAAATAGAACTACCACACGACCCAGCCATCCCACTACTGGGTCGTGTTCAAAGGAAATGAAATCAGTGTATCAAAGGGAGACGTGTATGCCTGTGTTTATTGCAATGAAGAGCACTGCAACAGATATCCATCAACAGATAAATGGATAAAGAAAATGTGACGTATCTATGTACATAATTGAATATTATTCAGCCATAAAAAAATCCTGTCATTTGCAGTAACCTGGATGGAACTGGAGGACATTATGTTAAGTGGAAAAATAATTCAGGAGCTGAAAGACCAATATTGCAAGTTCTCACACGTGGATGCTACAACAGCTGACTTCACGGGAGTCGAGAGTACAATAGTGTTTACTAGAGCTTAGGAAGAAGGAGAGAGGGAGGCGGGAAATGATTCCAAAACACAGTAGGATAGGAGGCAGACGTTCTGTTTTAGGGTGACTGTACGTTACAATGATTTACTGTATTTTTCAAAATAACTAGAAGAGTTCAAAGGTTCCTAACACATAGAAGTTATAGATGCATGAGGAGAAGAAAATGCTAATTACCCTAGTTTGATCATTATGCATTGTAGACATGGATCGAGTGATACGATATCTGATAAATATGTACAAATAGTATGTGTCAATGTAAAAATAAATCATCCATGATATACTGAGAAAAGAAGGGGAGGGAGGGAGAGGGAGAGGAAAAAAAGAGGAAAGAAAAAGGACTCATAAAAGGCCAGGGGACAGAGGGTGTTTGACTCCAGGCAGGGACACACAGAGAGCCCAAGTGTATTATATTTCCATAATGAGTAATCATCAGTGGAATGGCCACTGTGGCCACTGCGGCCTCATCCTAAATTGATCCCATGCACCACCCTCTCTGAGTGGCCCTGGCCAAGCTGTACACACAGGGTCCCACCTAACCAGAGCTGCCCAGCGGCCACTCCACCGCCACCCCAGGCTCACCTGCAGATGGTGGGAGGTGAGGACAGGCCTCTTCCCAGGACACCAGACGTCCTCCTTCAGCTGCCTCAAGACCTGAAAGCACTGTCTGCGGCAGCCCCCATCCTCGTCCAGCTGCTCCAGGAGCATCTGCTCGGCCTGGGAGAAGCTGAGCTGCCAGTGATAGCCGGCGTGGGCCAGCAGGTTGAACCCAAAGGACTGGAACAGAGGGGAGATGGGCAAGGTGAGGAGGAGGGCGCTCGCTGAGGCAGAAGGCCATCCTGGGGACGTGTTGCTGGGCAACAGTGCGTCCTACACGGGGACAAGAGGGCAGCGAGGGGACAACACAGACCACAGTGGCTGTGGACAGGGAGCCGGAGGAGGCTCCGTCTGCTTTGTCTGTTGTCGGGCTTCAGTGTGCATCAGAGACCCCTGGAGGGTCGCGGAGCCTCATGGGGCCTGGGGCTCCGTGTCTCTAACAAGTTCTGGGGTGATGCTGCTCTGGGTTGGGACCGACATTTCGAGAAGCAGATCTAGCAAACCCCCAACTTTCCTTGGGGAGCCGGTTAGCCATACTGCAAGGGGTAAGCTGATGGTGTCCAGGTCCCTGGTACCTTGAGGCATTCCACTTTCTCTGGGGAAGGCCAGCGCTTCAGACACCGAGGCCACTGTGCTTTCTCAGACCAGGCGGTGGGGATCTCCACAGTGGGGACCAGCTCTATTTCCACCTGACATGCAGTTGTTTCCACGGCAACCCAAACGGCCTCGCAGTTTGCCAGCAGGCTGACCTTACCTGGTGGGCAGTGACCAAACAGAGAATGAGAGAGGGAAAGGCCTGCTCACAGAGAAGGAGTCTGTGAGCAGCTGCTCCAAACAGCTCCTTGCTACCTGAGGGGCACATTTGTGGGGGTGGGGGTGGAGGGACTTATGTCAAAACCAGTCAGATAACCATTGTTAGAGTATTACTAGGAAATCTCATTGCTGGTGGGTTTTTTTTTTCTTTTTTCTTTCCTTTGCCCCAAAGCTTTTATGCTATCTTTAATTCTTTTTTTAAATTTATTTTTATGTCTTACATACATGACAATAGTAGAATGCATTACAATCATAATTATCCATTCACAGCACAATTTTTCATAACTCTGTATATAAAGTATGTTGTGCCACGTCATGCACAACCACAAATTATGCCATTATACATGAGCTCTCTTATTTATTTATTTTTTTGCATTAGGATTCTTAATACACCTTTATGCCACGATTTATCATCTCTCTGTTTGTATATAAGGTATGTTGACACCAAATTCTTAATTTACTTTAGCACATCTGTGTGCGTGCACGTGTGTGTGTGTGTGTGTGTGTGTGTGTGATGTTGGAGATTGAACCTTGCACCTGCTAAGCACTGAGTTACACCCTCAGCCCAGCATCTTTTTGTTTAATGGATTCTCTTCACAAGGTTCAACTGAAAGAAAACCGTAGAATAAAATGAAAATATTTGCTGCTGTCAAATGAAATCCAACCTTTTTTTTTCCTATTCTTCTCCCTTCTATCCAAGCATTGAGATATCAGTTTCAGATTAATCCAAACATAAGGAAAGACAGTGCCATTTTTTTTTTCTTTTCATCCTTCACCCAGATACTCTGACATTGTTCAAGGACAGCCTCAGTCCCCTTACTTATTCATATGCCTTTGGTGGAATTCTGCTAACCTGTCTTTATCAGAGTCAAAATCTCTTAGATGGTGTTTGTTTCCACCATCCATCTGCCAAGCAGATGTATGTATTTATCCTCATCAGCCCCTGTAATCATAAAACCCTTCAAAGCATGTCACGGCCACTGTTTCAAGAGGCCAGGTGAGTGGAAAGACACCCCCACTGCCTGCTTCCCTGTCAGGCAGAGAAAAAAGGAAAAAATAAAATAAAAAAGAAGTGGCTGATAAAGTTCTCCAGCTCACATACTAGACTCTCCTAGTTTCTAGTTTTCTCCTGCTTCTTTCAAAACATAGTAGCTTTTTTTTTTTTTTTTGCCTTCACGACAGATGAATGTCTTGAATCAGGGTCTATTATTTTGTTGGGTTTTTTTCCCTGCTCAGAGAAAAAAATGGAAGCTTATTAACCATGCTAGGCTGCTCAGAAGGAAAACGTTCTCTCCTTGACTGGGTGAAATGAGGGGCTCATCGTCTGCCTCTCATCAGAGCTGCACAGACAGGAACAAGATGATGTCTGGTACTTGGGCATCAGTAGCTGAAAGCACCTCTGATAACCTGGTCTAGCCTGAGTCTCTTATTGGCACTTACACTAGTAACAATGTGGCAAAGTATAAGAGGTGAGCCAATGTGGAGGCAGTCTGCCAGGCCCACACCCTGCTTCTGGTTTACTTGGTATGTGGCCTTCAGCTAGCTACTTAATCTCCCAAGTCTCAGTTTTCTCATCTGTAGAATAAGTACGAAAGAGAATTTTTACTCTGAAGGGTTGTTACGGGGATTAAATGATCCATGAAAGCATCTTCTATATAGTAAAAATCATTTAGACATAAGCTAGGGAAATATTCAGAGCAATTCTGTTTAGATAAGTAAACCTATCTGCAAATGTATCCTTTTCTTTCTAGACAAATGGAACTGCACAGGGCTCAGCAGTGTGGTTCTTCATTTCATCACCCTGCACCTGCATTTTTTATACTATCTGCCTGTGTGTGTCTCATTCCTCAAAAGGCTGCGTGGAGGTCCATGAGGCAGAGGTAGCAGAATTTACTTGGCCAATTCTCCTTTGTTAGTCATATTTCTAGCTACTATTATAGAGCCTATGGTAGGGACTATCTTTGTGTCTATTTCTTCCTGTATTTGGAGAAACATATTTCTAGAACTAGAACTGCTGAATTGCCAATTAGGTGCATTATTATTATTATTTTTTAATGGAAACATTTGACCCTTGAGTTTCTGAGTCTGGTGGCCATCATACTAAGTGAAATAAGCCAGACTCAGAAAGGCAGGGGTTAAATGTTTTCTCTCATATGTGGAAACTAGAGACAATTAGGAAATTAAAAATGGAGGGAGGGGTCTCATGAAAATAGAAGGGAGAGCAGTAGAGGAAGGGGACTGGGGGGGAGGGAGGAAGAGAACAGGGGAGGAAGGGCAATGAAATTGACCAAACTATGCCATGTGCACTCTATCCCAAGGACTTCCACTTTTATGTGTAATTATAATGGATCAATTAAAAAATAAATGAACAGAAGGAAGACCATACAGTAGAGGAAGGGGCATCAGGGGGACAGAGGAGGGGAGGGAAGTGGGGTACAATTGGGGATTGAAATGGAGCTAATTATATGCATTTGTGAATATGTTGAAATAAAAAAAAAGATTTGGGAGGTGGCATACAATGCTTTTATGTAAAAATATTCATGAAAATTTAATGGGCTGTATTCATTTGCCAACATAAAATAAACTTGTTAAAAAATAAAAATAAAAAATGGACAAATTGCCTCTTAAAAAGAAAGCACCAAGGCACTTCCAACTTTAGTCTATGAATATGCCCCGTTGACCATGCCCACCCAATGCTAAGCAGGTCCCCACTTCTCATCTCTGTCAATCTGTTCGGGATTTGAAGGCACATTTCTTGAAATACACATTAAATGGAAAATTTTGTTTTCTTGTTTTTACCATTCATTTGTAGACTGTTTATTTCTTTTTTTTTTTTTTTTTTTTGTCATTTACTTATTCTTTGGGCTTTTATTTCAATCAGACAGCTTTTTTTTTTTCTTACTGGTTTACAAATACTCATAATTAAGGAGATTAGCAAATCCTTTTTCTAGTTTGAAATTCACCCTTGTGCTTCGAATGAACAAAGAGTATGTTTCAATGGAAAAATTACTCAGCCATAAAGAAGAATGAAAGTAGGGCACTTGCTGGTAAATGACAGAACTGGAGACTATCATGCTGAGTGAAATAAGCCAATCTTCCAAAAACCAAAGGCAGAATGTTCTCTCTGATATGTGGGTGCTAACACACAGTGAGGGGGTGGGGAAGAAAGAATAGAAGTTCATTGGATTAGACAAAGGGCAATGAAGGCAAGGGAAGGTGGATTGGAAAGGAAAGACACTAGAATGAGTCGGGCATGTCATATGCGAATACACGGCCAGTGAAACGCCACGTCATGCACAACCACAAGAATGGGATCCTAATCAGAATAAGTTACACTCCATGTATGTGCGATATATCAAAATACATTCTACTGTTATGTCTAAAAAGAACAAATAAAAAAAATCTTTAAAAAGAGTGTCTGCGTGCACGTGTGTGTACATCCATCTACATGGCCCATATCATACAACAGCTTAAGGTATTGGAGCTGTCAAACTGAATCCGTTCTGATGGCTTCAAGATTCTGTGCTTTGGTACAAGGATGCCAGGACAGGTAATCTGCTTAAACCCATGGGAGTGTCTGTCTGTACAAATTCCGCTCTTCTGTGTGTCATAACCAGAATAAAAAGAGCTCCTCCACGCTCTGGGGACTCCACTGGTGTCAAGAACACACGATTACTATCTCAGGTAACACCCGAGCGGAGGCTTTTAGAGAAAAAGGGAGAAAGCCACCATTTCCCTGGGACCTTTTCCCGATCGGCTCACCTGAGAGGTGACAGGTCCTAATAGCGTTTTCCACTAGCTTCCGGAACACCAGGAGGACCTTGGCGGGCACAATGTCCCCCTCGATGTTCACGTCTGCCTCATGCCACTGCCACAGGCTCTTCATGAACTGTTCCACCTCCAGCCACTGCTGCAGGCCCTCCGGGTCCCTCAGGGGACAGGGGATCCGGGTTCCCTGAAGGGTGTAGTACCGCCAGCGCCGCTCCCTGGCCTCCCGGTACCCGGCCAGACCTTTCACTGGGACTGTGACCAGGAACTGGCTGGGGGCCAAAACCTGGGGTCAGGAAAGTTGAGAAGACGAGGGTGAGTTCACAGATGGAGGAGGTAACAAGTCCTTGGAGAGCTGACTGTCAAGCCAGGCAGCTCAGTTAACCACTCAGCCCACGGCCATGAGACCAGGCAGGCAGAAAACCAGGCCCGGGCATCGCGAGAGGCTTACGTCTGTGTTTTGCCACTAAGCCACTGTGAGGCTGCGGCTCATCAGTTAACTCACTGAACATGAATCCACAAGTAAAAACCCCTAGAACTCTGGAGGGGACCTAAATATAGGAGAGGAAAAAGGAGAGGAAGAAACTAATATTCCCTGAGTTGCACACATGTGAACCATAGCAATTCTCATACATTTGTCCCTTTGATCTTTATAGACACTCATTGAGGTGGACTTTGCTGCCATTTCCCAGATGAGGGACCTAAGGTTCAGAGGGGCTTAGAAATCTCCCTAGAGACACACAGCCAGGAAGCAGGAAGAGCCAGAATTTGAGTTTAGGTCTTTTATTTTCAGTACTGGGGATTAAACCCAGAGCTTTGTGCATACTAGGCAAATGCCCTTCTATTGAGCTACATCCCCAACTCTTTTGATTTTTTATTTTGAGACAGTTTTGGTAGATTGACCAGGCTGCCCCCCAAGTTACAATCCTGCTGTCTCAACCTTCTGAGTAACTAGCATTACCGGCATATGCCACCATGCCCAGCTGAGTTTAGAGCTTTCGAGAGCTCACTCAATGATCATCTTCTTACCCTGGGCTAGTTTTCATTCAAGAATGAATGACGTGGCCAGGTGCAATGGCATGTACCTGTAATCCCAGAGATTCTGGAGGCTGAGGCAAGAGGATTACAAATCTGAGGCCAGATTCAGCAAATTAGTGAGGGTCTCAACAACTTAACAAGACCCTGTCTCAAAAATTTCAAAGGGCTGGGGATGTAGCTCAGTGGTAAAGTAACCCTGGGTTCAATCCCCAGTACCAAAACAACAATAATAACAACAAAAGCAAAAAAAAAAAAAAAAAACAGACAAAAAATAATGAATGAATGATCTGGAATGGGTGAAAGGTCTGATATGAATAATGAATACAGGGTGGGAAGGGATGGAAAAGGAGGTGGCAGGATTTTGCAAAATGGAACCCTTTCTTGTTGCCTATACTGAGGATCCATGCCCAGTATTAATGAGTAACCCTTACCAAATCAAAGGTGAAATGAAAGACTATTTGTGTAGACAATGTGAGCTATTGAGATGATTCTAAGTTTAATGGGGAAAAGCGAGCAATCAGGTTCCACCCACTGCTATTCTCCAGAAACCAGCTCAGCAGTGGTCAGCAAGAAAATTGGCCAATAGTCCAAAGGATAGAATAAGCTAGTCAAGAGTGCAGAACTGCCAAAGGCAACTTGAACTTTGGTCATGTTGCACGGCAGCCCACTCCACACCACACCTTCCCTGTAGTTCGGCTACCTCCTCTTCATGGAAAGTTCTGACAATAGAATGTGGTGAACTCTGGCCCAGGGCCTGGCCTCTTCAGGAGTGAACAGCAAAAATCAGCTGCAACCGATTCTGCCTCACTCTCAGAGAACGACTGATTGAAGTTTTGGATGATGGGTGCACATGACTTATGGTGTCCGCAGAAAGGAGGCTAGACAAAAAATCTAACCCATGGAATTAAAATGTTGTTCTAATTCACCTGCAGGTCAATTCAAGAACACAACTACCACGTTGCTGGTCACAAAAATGGTGCACATCAATGCTGTCGAATTCAGTCCGTGATAAACTGAAAGCAATTTTATAGGCTACATGTAACTACTTTCAAAATTTAATACGCAAGACACAAAGTATATAAACCCAAGGTATATTTTGAGCTATGCATTCTTAATGGGAGCACAGAAGGAAACTTTCTCCGTGTAGTTCTAGGAAAAGTGATGCAGTATGTATCTATCGAATCCCACTCACTGGTCTGTATTTGTCCAACTTAGGTTGGCCTGGGGAGGTCAAGGTGGGCAGGTGGGTTCTGAAATTCCAGGAATCTAATCTAGTTTTACAATTTTCACCCTGGAATAGATTTCCTAAGATCTGACTCTGACTCAAAAATCGACAAGTCCCAGAGTCTTGTGGGTTGTCTTTGTGTCCCTCGCCCTTGAGATAGATTAGGTCAGCAGTGGTGTTTTGTTCAGGTAGACATCCTTTCACTGATGCCCTCATTCATTCCACGTAGGTTGAGTGTCTACCCTGTGCCACACACACCATGCTGGCTGCTGGAATGAAGCCACCAGTAAACAGGATCCCCTCCATCAAGGAGCCTGCGGGCTGGTATGAGAAACAGGATGTGAGTTCATCCCAATTAAGTGTAAGATGAAAGAGGTTCTTAAGTGGCATCAGAAAAATTGCGATAAAGAACGATGAGGATTCAGAATGATGCAGAACCTCACTTCTCTCATGTTCTAAGTAGGAATAACCACACTGTCTTTCCCACAGGCTAACAGGCTGGAGTGAGATCATTGCTATCAACAGCTCTGCCCACGGGACAGTGTTACTCAAACCGCTGGTTGTCACACATGGGTCTTGGTGGCTTATACTCCATGGGATTCCTTAGCAGACAGAGGGACTCTGAGTCCACTCCTACAGTCCCTTTTCTACTCTCTTCCTTCCTCTACCTGCAACCCAGAGACGATCATTTTCAATCATCTTCCTATCAATGCCCTCAGTTCCCTCAACCCAGTCCCCCATCTATTAAGTGGGTGCTTAACTAAGAATGTGTGCCTAATGGGCTTTCATCATCACAGTGGAGCAAGCTTTGGAATCAGAAGCCTGGGTAGGAGCTCTGGTTTTAGAGCCAAATATGACTTGGTCAAGTCATTTGGCTTCTCCAAGCCCCGTTTGGATTGTCCAGGAACGTGGGACTCCAACGAGATAACACCCATGAAATGTGGTTGTAGATGGTAAGTACTAAGAGTACCCAGGGAGACATGAAGTATTAGTGGTACTCTCAGTGGGGTGAGCACCTGCTGCATAGAGAGTTCCACCCCCAAGAGCTCTGGTCTGTTAGTGGCCCTTAGAGACCAGTGGCATTGCTTACCTTAATGTTCCCATTGTATATGTCAGAGTAAGGCACAGCTTGGAATCGGATGTCTTGGTGGCTGATTTCTGTGGTCAGACAATGGATGACTCTCTGCACCTCCTCCACAGCCTGGGAAACCTGCTGGCGTCTCAAGTCCACCTGGTGGGAAGGCATTGGCAAGGAGGTTATTTCTTGTGTGGGACCCAAGGTGCTGGCATTAGAAAGTGTTGAGACAAGGGCCCAGTGGTATGTGACCTGCAACGTTCAGGGCAAAACTCCTGCCTTGCCAAGACTGCTGGGGGGATGAACTTAGGTCTACTCTGACTTCGATGACCTTGCCAGTGCCTCTATGTTTTCTTCTGAAATAAGCACATTCATGCAATATCTATTCCAGAACCTTCTATGTGGCAAGTGCCCAGGGGCTTGCTAGGGACACAATGTGATAAATACAAAAGCAAACAGCATAGAGATACTTGCCCTCTAGTTGAAAACACACACAGGCTATGTTTGAATGTGTGTGTGTGTGTTGTGTGTGCATGTGCATGTGTGTTATGTAACACCAGGTATAAGTGTTACAAAGAAAAATAAATTAGGGTATAAGATTAGCAAATAAAGGGGCTGCTAATTTAGATAGGGTGGCCAGGGAAGGCTTCCTTGAAGAGGTGACATTTGAGTGGGTCATGAAGGCAACTCGAGAAAGCAGATTCCAAGGCTCCTAAAGTAGGAGCATGCTTGATCATGCTGGAGGGCCTGCAGGGGGGGGCCACTGTGATTGGAGCCAGGGAAAGGAAGAGGAAGGTGACGGGAGATGAATTTGGAAAAGATAGTGGGGACCAGATCATCACAAAAAAGGTTCTGTGAGCCATGGTGAGACCAGAATGGAATAATAATGTCTTTTCTCCAGGTTGGTAAATATTCAACAGTTTAATGTGTGTAAACACACAGCAGATTGCTTCCCGCTTAAGTCACCGGTGAATGAAGCCTCCCTTCGCCTCTCTACACACCCCCTCCTTCTGCCACTAGACCGTTAAGAAGAACATTCATTTATGACCCCTCTGACTCTGCCCAGTGAGTCACCAAGAACTGGAAAATTCTCACAGAAAACTGAACACCAATAAGATAACTAATATTTAGGGAAATAGACATTTGTGGGAAACACAAAGGAAATTTTAGAGAACTAAATCAGAATCAGAAGCCTTGGTAGGAGCTCTGGTTTTAGAGTCAAATATGACTTGACCAAGTCATATTTAAAAATCCACATGAAGGAAGAAGTGGAAAGAGTTAGCAAGTTTCTTCTGATGGTGTGTGTGTGTGTGTGTGTGTGTGTGTATGCGTGTGTTGCGGGGAGGTTCTTCATTTGCCAAGGAGGCACCTGTGGGCTGGTGAGTCTCCTTTAGCCAGGGACTGATTTGATATATTGAGACGCAATAGCCATCTATGAATCTTTATAGTCCTTCTGAGTTTGGAATATTGGCTATTTCTAAATATTCTAGAGTAGTTTTGAGACACCCATAAGTGGTTCAAAATGTCCAGAAAAAAAAAGCACCCAAATTTTTCTGTTTTCTACTAAGCTAAGTCACCAACCAGTTCAGTCATCTGAAATCTTATGCCTCCCACTGACCAACAAGCCATTCCACACCCACAAGGAATACAAATAGGAGAATACATCTGTTTGCACATGTTATATATGCTATATGAATTCAGTTCATCAATAAATGTTTATTTAGCACCTGCTATGTGCAAGGCACTGCTACGTGCTAGGTCACAGCAGTGACTAAGGTAGTCGTAACTAAACACTTACCATAGGGGGGAAAGTCAGACATAAGCACAGGATACAAGTGGAGATGGTGCCATAATGGAGATGAGTAGGTGCCACTGAGTACAACAGAGACAGGTGACCTAATCAGCAGGTGAGACCAGTTTTATATGCACGTAAGCCCAGAGAGAATTAACTTTGAAAAACAAGCTAATCCCTTCCAGATGCTAATACCTTGTAAACAAGGCCCTTGATCTTATTATCTCATGGTGCTTATAATCTCATTGGAAATATATCATATACCTGAAATGGTCTCTTCATAATCCATGTGTCTTGACTGACCTTGAATATGGCAATCATGATTATACTAGCTTCTAACATCATCCTTTCACCACCAGCAGTCACTCACCCCGCTCTATATCTTTAAGTTCCACCCCACTATACTCATCATGGAGAATGGACCAAAGGTAGTTTCCTTGAACATTTGTAAACTGCATCTTCCAGCTTGTGAAAGTGGAAAAGAGAATGTGATTTGGGGAAGGCAGGTTATTGGCTACGTCAAAATTAAAAACGGATGCTTTCAGAAGATTTTGATGAAGGTTGCTTTCTGGTGGAAGACTTTCCCTACACATTGAGATTCAACTCCATTTGACCGATAATTGCTGAACACCCACTTCCTGCTGGGCTCGTGTTGCATGTCAAGAGATTTACAGATGTCCTATCCAAGCAAGACAAACGAACTGGAATTTAAAATCACAGAAATCTTGTACCAGGAGAGGTTCATGCTGTCTGCTGTGGAAACCCACAATAGATATGAGGGAAGAGGGAAGAACATGTAAGGTAAGAAGTTTGACTACAGGAGCAAAAGAATTAAATTTAAACAAAAGGAACACCAGCAAGTTTTCCAAAATGACGTACATGTTTAAATGTTGAGAGAAAAACCTCAGGAGAGAAGGAAGAGGCAGTATTGAGCAAGACCATCAACTGAGGATTTCCCAGAAGGAAGAAGTCATGAAAATCCAGAAAGCTGTATGAGGAATTCACCTTTGTGCATCAGAAGGAAAAAAAGAAGAAAGTGTACAGATACAGGAAAATGCACAGGGGATGGTGGAATCAGAGAAATGTCCAGCCTGATGTCTATATTCTTTACAGATTAGGAGACAAGATGGTGTGTTGAAGTGAGGTGGGGAGGTGGTCATTCATGTGATAGACTGTTGAAATAGGTCCCTAAGGAATGAGATGCTATTTAGGTACATGTGTAAAAGACAGCCAGGCAGCAGGAAGGCTCACTGTGGCCAGGTCCATGACTGTGAGAGATATAAATGGGCTCAGTTGTGAGATATTCCCTAGCACCTCTCAGCCACCCAAGTATGAGCTCAAGAGCTAAGACTGGAGTTTATTGGGCAAGAGCTGGGGAGGAACAAAGGCAAGGTAGGGTTTCAGCAGGGGCTACATTCTCCAGCCTGAATAGGGCATGGATAAAGGCAGGTTGGTCAATTTGGGTTCAGAGACTAGAAGTCTGATTGGGGTATAATGGGAATAAACAATGTAAGGTAATTATCAGTGACACAAGACAAAAATAATACGAGATATTCTAACTAGATAGAACATCACAATTGGAGAGGCTGGGAAATAGTATTTTCTAATTGTTAACTTCTCAGGATGTGTGGAAGACTAATTGTCAGCTTCACAATCCTCTAAGTCAACTACTGTGATTCCACAGAACTTGAACGTGAATAGCACAACTGTGACGGTGTGTATGTGTTCCTGAGTGAATAAATTAAACAGTTAAGGAGTCATCACTATACTGACATTATCAAATCACTTTTATTTGATAAAAACTTAAATAGATGTGCACATAACACATTTGCTGAGTAACCTATTGGAAGAAAGTTCATTGAAAATCTCTTGTACCAACTGTGCCCTCATTTGATGCTGGAATTTTTTTTTTACTGGGCAGGACAAGATCATACACATCCTGAAAGACACCTATAATTTCTCACTCATTATACAGGATGATTAGTGTGATTAGCTCATCTTTACAATCTGTTTTGATTTCCAAAGGGGAAAAGTCAGAATAAGGGAATTTTTTTTCCTTTGGAATTTAAAACCACAAATTCTGGTTTGGGTTTTCTTTTACCACCTGTGATGCAGTTTAGACTCATGATCTTAGAATGCAAAAGACCTCAGAAATCATCTTATCTGATGTCACTTAACAGAGGGTCCAACCAATGGCTGACTCTCCTAATGTTACACCAGCTGTCAGAAGTAGAACTATAGCAAATGCTCAGGTACACCAACTCCTCTTTCCACCAGTCTCTGTCACATCCTCAAGTTCAGAAGTTACATTCCTGAACCAAAAAAATGTCAACAATTTGGAGTGAAAGTTCATGAAATAATGAGCCCAGAATTTCCATTTGTTTAGGTGTCACTGACTGTCATCCCACAAGGACACTAGGCTAATGTAGAGGGGCTGCACAGCGATGTCAGGTATAGACCACAGCTGGGATGGAGACATAGTCCAACCTTGGACAAGTCTTGTCCCCACAGAGCCCAAGCCACAGAGATGAGTGACAGACACTTTCCCACTAAGTGATGAACAGTCCCATTCCTCCATATATCTCTGGTCACACTTCCTGATACAGTTTCTACTCTTTTTCCTTTTTTATTTTCTTTCGAGCTGGAGATTGAACCAAGGGGCACTCTACCATTGAGCTAAACCTTCAGTCCTTTTTTTTTTTCTTTACAATTTTTTGATAAAGGATTTTTCTAAGTTGCTGAGGCTGTCCTCAAAACCTCCTGCCTCAGCCTCCCAAGTCACTGAGATTACAGGTGTGCGCCACCATGCCCAGCTTGGGCTAAAAGTTCTTACTTCTACAAGATCACTGAGCTCAGCAACCCTAGAAGTGCTTGGTGCTAGGGTTTCCAGGCTCAGTCCCACGTACCTCTTGTTACTCCTAACTTGGAACCCCCAGACTATTTCTGTCCACTTTTCCTGACCACTGCCCAGAGAGCAAGAAGATTCCATTTGATGGTGTGAAAAAGCAGAGTAGGACCCAAGGCAGCTTACAGAGCATGATTTTGGTAAAAGAAGGATGTTCTACCATAAGTGGAGACCCCTCCAAGCCTGGTCCCACAATCCCTTCATTGCCTCTCAAACTTCAGGAAGCACTGAAGACATGAGTTGCAGTTTTGAGGCAGCCTTATCACAAAGTTTATTTCAGGGAAAATAAAACTAAAATGTATGGAGAAAATAGGTTCATTTAAGCAAAGGTACTCAAAAGCATATCCAATCCAAACTTGACCTCAGGGGCCTGTTCCAGTTTTATTCTCCTCCTCTGCTGATTAAATCAATGAATAAAGGTGTGTTTCCCTTTTGAAAAGACTAATCAGGTACGTGATGCAAGATGTTCTTAGATCACCTGTGCCAGTCCTTCTGTTGCACTGACCCCAGCACAGTCCGGCTGTGATGCCATCCCCTTTACGAGGGCCTCCCTCTCTCCAGGCAAGCCTACGCAAGCCTCTCCAGGCAAGTCTACATCAGTCTATACTTATGTACACATCCCATCCTAGGCTAGCCTGCCCTCTTCCTTGCCAATCGCGGTCTCTGGCCTACTGTTGTCCCACAAGTCATTTGCTATTAATAGCTCAAGTTCATGAACAATTTACTGTTTCAAATATAAATTATTGGGAATTCAAGATTGTCCCCTATAATAACACCACTCTGACTCATTCACATTGCAACACCCTTCCTGGAGGGAAGGGGAAGGCCGATGCTAAGCAGCATGCCAGGAATATCCCAGGGACCTAGTCACACCCAGGGCAGGTGGTCTCTGTGAGCATCATCCAGGAAGAGTGCACAGAAGGAAAACAGCTGAGAACTTCCTTCCAGTAAAGAGGAAGTCAAACCTTTAGTTGTGGAATTGCCTTAAACCCAATTATTGGTTCTGAGATGAAAAAAAACCAGGCCTCTTTTCTATTTTCCAAGAGCTAATTGTTCAAGGGATAGAGACCAATTCAGGGATAGAAACAGAGGAGACACCATAACCCTATCTTTTCAGACTAATTCTTCTAAGAGCTGAATGCTTGGGCCACACAGGGTCTTTAAAATTCCTAAAGGTGGGCTGGGGATGTGGCTCAAGCGGTAGCGCGCTCGCCTGGCATGTGTGCAGCCCGGGTTCGATCCTCAGCACCACATACAAACAAAGATGTTGTGTCCACCGAAAACTGAAAAATAAATATTAAAGAATTCTCTCTCTCTCTCTCTCTCTCTTAAAAATAAAATAAAATAAAATGAAATTCCTAAAGGTAGCAGGAGTTCTACAGCAGCACTATAGAACCCTTCCTGGGCGCAGGGTGGTTTAAAAGAGTAGCCTCATTTGAGCCTCCAAATAATTCTTTACTGTAGATATCAGGGTGGTTCCCATTTGAAAGATGAGAGACAGAAGCTCAGAAAACTTAAATAATTGGCCCAGGGGCCCAGAGTTAGTAAGTTACAGAACAGGGATTCATACCCAGAGACAGTATCATTCTGAAGTCCATATCTGCAACCATGGCCCTGTTCTGTCACCCAAAAGAAAAGGTAACTGAGAGTGAAAACCACCTCAAATATATAAATGGGTTCCCTTCTCCTAGAAGATCTGTCCTGCACTTCCCCATTTACCTAACCCACCACCACCCACCCTCCAAGCCTTTGTCTCTGTTCCCTTTCTCTGAACACACTTCTCCTGTTGCAGTGAATGCCCTTCCATCCTCTGGTGCCCTGCTAAGTTCTCCATTGCAGCCCTGGCGTCTGCCACGTGTTGATGAAGGGTTTGCCTGTCTACACAAACAGCTTCCTCCTTTCTCCTTTGGAGATATGAGCAAAATCTGCAAGCCGGACACGCCCATCCTTGAGAGAGATGTAGAATGTCTGTCTGAGCAGCCACATCTCAGGCCTGGCGTTCCCCTTGAACCACAGCCCTGGGTTTGGCACAAAGCAGGTGCTCACTGTGTGTCTGGGGAGATCCCGAGGGTTTGGCAGGTGAGATTTGGCCTTTGTAGTAAAGGACTGGAGTGGAGCCTCAGCACCTTCACAGTTCTAGCTTGGGACTTGAGACAGGTTATTTCATCTCCATGATACCATTTCCTCTTCTGTAAAAATGATGTATTATATGCACATCACATGATTGTTGATTAGAGTAAATGAGAAGCTACCTGTGCCTCAATCGGCCAGCACCTTCTACTCTGCTCTTGCCTTATATACAAAGAATCCTGAAGACATTTCTGACCAAACATGTGCAAAATAACTGTGAATGTCCGAGAGAAGAAAGATGTTGAAGATGCTCGTTCTTGGCCCCAGAAACTTATGAATAGCATAGTGACACAATATTGAAGTCACCAACCAAAGTAATAATAGGAAAAGTGTCAGAAGTCAAAGTACAATGAATAAGCAGTATCAGTCATAATTATTATGAGAGCTCCTAGGAGGGCAAAAATTGTTGGAGCTGGGGTGTCAGGGGAATTCTTTTTGAGAAAGTGGACTCTGAGCTGAATTAAAAAAAAAAAAAAAAAGAAACATAGAGCAATTTATTGTTAGAACAGATAGAAAAGAGTTACTGTTCATCATTATTGTGTGTATGTCTGTGTCTGCTTGTGGGCACTGGGGCTCAAACCCAGGGCTTCTTGCAAGCTAGGCAAGCGCTCTATCTCTGAGCTACATTCCCAGCTCAGGCTGAGTTTGAAGAATGCATGTGAACCAGAAGGTGGGAACCCAGGACCTGGGGCCTGAGACCTGCTTGGGCACAGTTCTTATGGGGCAGAAACAGGAGACTTGACCACCTACAGGGATAGAGAAAAGACATCCATGACAGAGAGAGAGGGTAAGTGGGGACCAGTGTCAAACCCAGGAGGAATGCAGCCACTGAGAACTGGCCAGCATACGCTCTAACAGACACTCAGCTTCCGCTCATGGGTTCCAGGTAAGAAATTGGGACCTGTGGTTGCCAGGTACCCTGATTTTTTTTTTCCTCCCAGAGAAAATAAAAATCTGGATTTCTAGGCAAAATATCACTATTTTGAAATGTTTATACAAATTTTGAAAAATTCAAAAACTGCTCTGCAGGCCAAACGAAACATGTGCACAGGCTGGATTCAACATAGGGAGAAACCATTTAGAATTTCTGCTTTTAGAAATGCTGGGAAAGCAGAGGGTAGAAGTTACTTGAATGCCAGACTAAAAAATTTGGAGGTTTGTTTTTTTTTTTCTTACAGAACATAAAGGATCCATGAGAAGAGGACAGCTGACATCTTTTCCATTCAGAGCCCCCCAAAAAGAGGCATAATGGAAAATCCTTTACTCCAATTTTTATCATCATAACTTTTTCCTATTTATCTCTCTTATGGGTTTTGCCTAAGAAACACACTTACTTATCACTGTGCTAATGCTTTTGGCTTTGTTTACTTGTAAAGGGACAAAACCTGAAAATTGGTCCTTACACTTTATTCAAGTATTTTAATTAAACATTAACTTTGTGCCTTAGTAGCTTTATTTGTAAAAAGGATTAAATTAGGGAATATTTAAGATCCCTTCAAGTCCTAATATTTTAAGACTTGATGACTCTATGTAAAAGAAATTAGTCCTTCATTGGTATATGCTAAAAATGTAATGGTATTTTTTAAAACAAGCAGTTTCAGAGTTCTTAAAACACTTCATGCTAATTTTATTTGCTCTTTTTCAATGACCCTATGAAAGTCTAAATATTATCACTCCCATTTTATGGAGAAAAAAGCTGAGGCTCAAGCAGATAAAGTGACTTGCTTCATGACCACAAAAGTATCAATGACAGAGCTATAGTTCTCTTCTCTACTTTATACCCAACATACCCCTGGGCGCTAGAACTTTTAGAGATGGATCAAAATATGTCAAGTTCCTAAATATGCTTTCGGGTGAAGGTCCTTTGTTTGTTTCTATCTTTTTTTTTTTTTTTTTGGTGCCAGGGATTGAACTCAAGGGCACTTGACCACTGAGCCACACCCCCAACCCTATTTTGCATTTTATTTAGAGATAGGGTCTCACTGAGTTGCTTAGCGCCTTGCTTTTGCTGAGGCTGGCTTTGGACTCATGATTCTTGTGCCTTAGCATCCTGAGCCACTGGGATTACAGGTGTGGGCCATTGGGGCCCTCCCCAGCAATGTCCTTGGTGTCTGAGGAATATTTTATGTACCTTTGGAAGCAGCCTGAAATTGTCTCTGGTTCAGTCTTAGTGGGGGGTGGAGATGGAGGGTGAGGAGCTAGTGCATGGGAGAGAATAGCATCTGCTCTTACCTTATTTAGGAGGCAATCTTCTACGTCTCCCCCAGAAAAGGATTTCATGGCTTCTTGGTCAACGCCGAGTAGAGCAGGAACTTCTAGGGGCTTTCTGCAGTGGAGGACAACACCTGAGGGCAGTTTGCCCAGGAAGGGTAGTCTCTGGATGAAATTGCTCTGAATACGTGTACAAGGACCAGAGATGTGGCTTTTCAACTCGTCCCTCAAGTTTTTATTTCCAAATTGCGAGAATCCGTCTGTCATCTTTTGAGGAATTAAAAAGAAAAAAAAATTTTTTTAAGGAGAGTTGATGAAATTAAATTGGAATCCAACCTAATTTTACCTGTGACTATTTCAACCTAACAGTTCTGCTGACTGCTGCTCTGACCCAGGAATAGTTTTCCCAGTTGTATTTCCCACCCAGATACTTCAAAGTTCCATTCAAGACAGAAAGTCCTGTGGTTGGCCCTCTCCCTCCTTTTTTATGCTTTTGTTCGGACACTGGATGCAGGTTGAAGTTCAGTATCTTTCTATCTCCTTGTTCTTACCTTGTTGACAGTAAATATCCCTTGCTCTCCAATCCAGAAAATCCCGCAAGTGGATTTACCTTCTTTGCAATAAACAAATAGAAAAATTGCCAAACAAACAGCCTCATACTCATCCTTATGCCTACAACCAAGTAACCAGGGCTTAACAGTTGACACTGGAAAAGCATGCACACACAGAGGCACACCTACATACACAGGCACACGTACGCACACAGGCACACAGAGAGACGCACGCTTACACACACCACCCACCCAGAGGAATGGCAGGGTAGCCATCCTTGGGCTCCCCTGCTGACCTTTCAATGTAATTTCCCTCTTCCCACTTGAAAACTGCCATTAAAATTGAAGTCAGTGTAAACAGACCCCCTGAAAGTTAAGGAAACACTCACGTCTGGTTTTGCCAGTAAAATTCATGTTGGAAAAACAGCTCAGGCAGCAAGTTCCCAGTCTGACTGGCTGGGGCTAGTTTTACTATAGGGAGGAAAAATTTCACAATGGCTTGATCTCCGTGCAGCTGGTAAACATCACAGCCTACTATCAGAACATCTGAAGGACTGACAGCATGGTGAGGAGCCCAGCTCCCTACTGAGCAATGCCTCTCAGGCAAGCGTCTTTCCAAACCTACCTCTGAGTGCAGCCTCTAAGACACAGCAACCACGCGGACCAGAGGCTCAGTCACTGGGTTTCTGTGGCCCAACATTTGCATTTCCTCCCAGACTCTGCCCAGGTGAAAGCCACATCACAAGCTCCCGGCTGCTCTGTGCTCCACCCACCTCCCTAGTCCCAGCTTTCAGTCTGGCCTCTGCAGACGCCTTCAAGGAATCATAGACTGATATAAAACTTAAAAAGCTCCAGTCTTTCCAATGACCCTCCATTACCTGCCTCAAAACTGCCCTCTTTTCTCTATGACATCAAATGCTCCCAAATATTCAAGCCTTTTTCCCCCCTTGGCTTCTCATACTACACAGGTCATCATGCCCAACTGACATATCAGTGTCTCCCAGATGGAACAAGAGACTTCCCCTCTCTCCACCTGCCCTTCAGAATTCTCTCTCTGCCTCATCTTCAAAGTCACCAAAGTCTTCTCATTTCTCTCCTGTGCTCCTGTTTTTGATCTTACTTCTGCTTTCACTGGAATCATTAGCTTGGAAGTCCCTTTCTTCTGGTGGGGACTTCCCTAATGAACTCAGGCTACCCCAGGGTCTGGCCCTCAGAAGCACGCAGGTTCACCATTTCTGTACCTGTGGCTCTGCTATCTTGGTTGCTCCAGTTTCGCAGCTGATCAAAATATTATGTCTGGAACCAACTCTTGCCCTAAGACACCTGGCCAGGTGTACCATGGGAAAACAAAGAACTGGGACACAGGACGAGCCTTCGAGAAGCAAGGAGCAAGAAGCAAGAACCATGTGCTCAGGGCAGGTAACTGCACTCTGGTTTCAACAGGATGCACTTCCAGGAAACAAAGGTGTTTTATGAACACACAGTAGTGCTTTACTCTTCAAAGGCAAAGGTTCCGCAGCACAGGACCATCTCCCCCAAACAGGCTCTCTGACTGTTCCTATTAGACACATTGGTGAAGACAAAGTTTCTTGGTAGACATAGATCTCTGGCTAATTGAGTGATGAATCAGCAAAAAAAAAATTTTGCATAACAGGATGTCTAAGGCACTGTACTAGGCCACTGAGGAGGACTTAAAGCTTATTCACATTCTCCCCCTTCTTCAGGAAATACACATTCTTGTTTTTCATGATTCACATGAAATGCAAGTATTAAAATGTAAATTGGCTTTGGCTCAGTTTCTATTGTGTGGACCAACAGCTTGTTTTTAAAAGTCAGTTTTAACGAGGGATTCAAAGTGTTACACTGAACGTAACCCTTCAACATGTAGCGTCTCAGGAAGATCATGCATACTCTTGTTCACCAGCAAAAGGACTGAGATTTTCACGCTAAGAACAGTATGTTTGATCCAAATCAATCATTTTATTCACTTGTTCTGAGACAGTCTCGCTATGTTTTCCAGGTTGGACTCAAACTTTCCATCCTGGGGCCTCAGCCTCCTGGGTAACTGGGATTACAGGTTTGCACCACTGTGCCCAGCTTGAGTCTTAAATATGCAAATGTGTTGAACTTCTCCAGAGTTCCAAACTCTGACTTACTCCCTGAAGGATTTCCTTTAATCCTGGAGTGACTCAACTCCAACAGCTCAGAAGAGGAGAGATAATCATAATCGTCTGTGCTATGAGGAAACCCACAGTAGTGAACAATTTGAGGCAGGGGCGGTGTCTATTCTGTATCCCAGTGAAACCTCAGAGCCTAACACACAGTTGACCCTCAGGAACTACTACTGTAGATTTATTTGATTGCATTAAAGTGCCATGCTAATAAAAATATTTTGAGATGCATAAAATCACTTTATAAGTTATAAATTAAATTACAGACATGTAACCATGACAGCTTAAATTACTATCTCCTTTTATAGGAAAGCCTGATAAAACAGAACTTAGCATAAAGCTTGGCACAGGATCAGACCTTAGCAAATATTGTCTTCATAATCCATTTTATTCACTGAAGAAAAAGACTTCTTTTACTGGACGTGAATAATTCTGGTCTTACTTGGTGGGTGAGATCTTTCAATGAGTCATTCATCGTGGTTCCACCAAAAACCTGATGTTCTCTCCTCTCACACTAGAAATGACAACTGAAAGAGTTTGATCTCCATCTTTGTTTAGGTTCAGAGGTAGGGGATCCCAAATTCAAATACTTACATGGGCCAGGCCAGTCATAAAATAAATGAGGATCAGGTAGAACAATGGAAAGGGGTGGGTTTCAAGAATATATGCCTAAGTCGCTAGAGTTTTGTCTTTTACTTTTTTAAAACAACACTGTACTAGCCACAGGATCCCACCCTCTCCTGCTCACACTGTAGATTCCTACTAAAACAGGTGAGAGAGTCCCAATGTCTTCCCTGAGACCCTATGTGTTCTCATAGGCAGATTCTCTCTGCTTGGACACCTTCCCCTCCTCCCCTCCCTCTTCATTGGGCCAACTCCTCCAAGATGATCCTGCAAGATTTGTCTCTCTGGGGGCCTTGTCTGATTCTGGAGGCTGAGTAGGGATCTCCATATGCTGTTCCTAAGCCACCCAGTGCTAAACTTCTGCTTTAGCTGTTATCACACGGCACTTTTCTGGCTTAATGGTATCTATTCCTTGTCTCACCACAAGCTTCTTGAAGGAAAAAAATTTACATTGTTGGAAGCAGTATTTGATATATAGCAGGTGCTCAAAAGATGAATGAATGAATCCATGAACCAATGAATAACTAAGATGTCCTCTCTCCGATTTGTCCATTCAACAGCCCAGTCTCATCCTATCTACCGGCATTTTTTTTTAAAGTGAGAAAAATAAAAGATGAATAATGAGTAGGCTTTCATTGTGTTCATCTGGGAACACAATTAACACAAGTAGAAAGGGAAAAGGGCAATGTCTCTTGGAAAAGCTGACGTCCACTCAGAAAGAGCAAAGCAACAGAATAAAATATGCTTGCACCTGAAGGAAGCCGCTATTTGTGGCCTAAAGCTGTCAGGCATGCTGAAAAACTGCCCAATAATTAGAACATGCCATGCAGGTCCTGGAAGTCAAAACCCCACATGTCTTTGTAAAAGTCATAGCTCCATCTGGCCATTTCAACAGAGAAGCACATTATTTCTTAGCAGCAATCATTATCCCAATACATCCAGAAAGAGGGGTGGCCCTCCAGCATCAGCCCAAAGGAAGAAACAAATGTTTACTGAGGAGCAATAGTTCCATCATTTGTACAGCCTGTGATGGATGAGAAAGGATGGAAACTGTCAACTCCAGCTTCCTATGCAGCAAAGATGACCTGGTTTTGTTACAAAAATAGTATGTAATGAATGATCCCAATTTGGGCTGCGGGGAGGGAGAATATCTAGATTTGTTTCCATCTGTCCAAGTGTCCATCCATTTATATCTTGTGCACCTCAGTTATTCTGGATTTTCCTTGTTCAATCAATTCGGGCCAGAAGGCAACCCAGGAAAAAAATTTTTAACAGAAACCAGTTGTTGTCGTAATGAAACCACTGTTACGGCTGGACTGACACATTATTTTCAAATCAAATACTAAAAGGTGTTTCTATTTCCATAGCTTCCTGCTTGGTTGAAAAAAAAATGTATTTTCGTCTGAAAATTTTTCCTGAAGTCAGGGTGCAATCCTCTTCCCGCTACTCTGAATCATGCAAGGCCAGTCTATTTTTAAGTTTTAACCACGAGAAGAATTGTGAGAAAAAGAAAACCATTTAAGGAAGCAGACACTTGGTTTTATTTACTTGTTACACCTGAAGCTAACTGGCAACTCTGTTGAACTGTTCACCTCAGTTTCTGAGTTGGCTGAGTTAGGAAGGAAAGAACAGGTTAAAGGAATTACTTGTTGCTGGTTCTTGGGAACAAAGGGACAGTCTTCCTTCCCAGCTCTGCCCTCTAGTCTCATGACTCATGGCAAATTTGTCCTTTTTTCTTTTCAGTCAAAAGAGACCCAGAGTAAAGATACAGATACAGAGATCAATTGAACAAAATAAAAAATTTCAGTAATAGATTTACACAAATATAGCCAGTTGATTTTTGATAAAAGTATAAGCATAATTCAGTAGGAAAAGATCTTCTTTTCAACTGATGGTATTGGGACAATTGGTCATCCATACAAAAAGAAGTAAAACACCTCGCAACTTATATAAAGACCCACTCGAGATGGATCATACATCTCAATGAAAAACGTAAAAACGTAAAACCTTTGCAACACGGAGTTACACAGAGTTCTTAGAAATGACATCAAACAGATAAGCCATAAAAGATAACACTTATGAAGACACTTCTGAGAGACAGGAATATGGTGGATCAGAGGGACTCCATGAAATTGAACTAAACAGGATCTGCATGTTGAGGTGTGGACGGGGGCAGGAAAGTGCTGGAGTGCACATCTCTAGAAAGGCAACGACCAGGTGAAACTCATAAACATTGGGTCTTAGAATAATAAAACAGCATCCCAATATCCAGTGTTCATCTGCAGGGAGGAAAACCACCCCTTCAGTGGAGCCATGGAACAGAGAGCCCATCCTGGTGACCTCCAGGAGAGTGCCGAGTGCAGTGCCCACTCAGCACACAGGAGACCTGGGGTCTGTGTTGGAGAAGAGGGCCCCTGCACTTCCCAGTATACTCATATGGTGTCCCCAGATGGAGAGCCATCTTAGGAAGGGTACCATTGTCTAGATTGCTACTTGGAAGTTCAGAGTCCCTGCACCTTTTGTGTCTCTAAGACCCACAGTCTCATCTTCTCATTGGCTCAGCAGGTGCCCAACCTGGAGAGACACTTTGGGCTCAGGGAAGTGACTAGCTTCCTACTTGGAACTCTAGGCAGTGGGACAAGCAGTCTAGGAGGTGAAGGGAGCACAGCAAGACCAGCTGTGTGTGGATTTACACAGGGAATGAAGCCATGGTTCCCAGTAACAGGCAAGGGTTGCTTCCTGTAGCTCCCCACCACAATGTTGGTTGGGTTGGATGCTACACGCTTGAGGCGGAGGATATGGACTTGAGGCTTGGGCGTTTACCACACCTCCAAACACATGGATAAGGGGTCTCTGGATCAAGGGGATACAAACTCATTGGTTCACAGGGTATTCAGGTTAGCTTGGCTGGCAGGCTAACAGCTCATACTGT